TGGGGGAAGGGAATTAAGTTAGTAATCTTTACTCATTACCACTGATGGCAACATTGCTCTAGAAGTTACTCCGTGTATCATCAGCTTAATGTATTTAACAGGTTGTCGCAGGGATAGGGCTGCATGTTTCTTTGTGGGTGTGGCCAGCATTCTCTGCCTGGAGAAAATGACCATATATGGAAATCCGTCTCAGAATTACATCATACCGAGCCCTTAGTAGACAAAACTGAAAACAGAGTATTCAGAACAGGGGGATATCTGAGGTTTTGGCTGACATGGATTTCTTTTAAATACTTTCACATCATTATTTGAAGCTTTGGACATGTTTTAACATGAACAACTGACATTGTAACGTTACAGAAATGCCAGAAAATATGAAAAAGCATAATAGTTCCCCTTCAACTCAAATGTGTTTCTGTCTTATCTTTCTCTCAAACAAGAGTTAATTAAAAATCTGTAAACACTGTAGTAGTAGAAGTATTGGTGTCAAGTTAAAAGGAAGTTTAATGTTTCCGTGTGCGTGATTGTGTAGGTCTCTGTTCCTGTTCTCATACTGGGCTTGTTTGAAAGCTCTGAAGGCGTTTTGAATGTACCAACACCTTCACAATCACTTAATGAAAGCGCGCTCGTTTATCCGTCTCCCTTTTCAGTTCTCTGTAGCTGCCAGCAGCGTTGGAAAAACTGCACAGCAGAATTCCTCTGACACCATGTTTCATATTCCTTGTCATAACTTAAATAACAATGGTAATGCAGGTTCTGGCTCTGTTAAGTAATGCCTAAATCTCCACGTCAGCCTGACATTATTCTTATTTCCTTTGATAATCCACTCTCTGTTAAATCGATCCGAAGACTGAATAAGAATAATTAGAAATTTGGAAGTGCACAGTTTATTCAAATGCGCGTGAGTGCTGCAGTGGTGACATAACTTCCCCCCTAAACCTGGCACTGCGAAAATAGCAGCGTACGTCCAAGTCTATACAGAGGGACAAGGGGAGAAACGGCACCAGGAGCAGCAGACTAACTCAATTTTTATACAGCAGCAACCTAGATCTCCTCCCTTTTATACTTCATTGATTTTGCAATCCAGCAGCATCCAAGCAGAACCATACAAGCCGTACACCTCAGTCTGCCGCTGATAGCCAATCTCTATTACCCACCAAGCCCAAGGCTTCGGTTCGAGGGACTAACCCTCTCAGGGGAAGCAGAGAGAGGGAGAGAGCTCCGACTGGCGGATCGGAGCGATGATGGATTTATGAGCTGCTTGGAGAAAGGATCATCTTCACTCCCCCACTTTTATTATCCCATCAGATCTGACGTGATGGCAATAATACATGACGGCCTGTCACATTTTGCAGATCTGCTGGCAAATATGAATGATGATTTCAAATGCTGCCCTCTAATCAGCCGCGAAATTGCTTCAGTAAATATGTTCAACTACCCAGCGCTCTGTCTTCCTCCTGTCTTCCACTTTGAATGAAACTCAGAGTAATAGGCTTGTAGTTGTCACAATGTTTAAGACCCGTGTTGGCTTCACGGTTCATAATTACCTTTTAATGCACAGAGACGGCTTGAGGGGAGGAAACTGACGGAAATGTGGAATGAAAGGAGGCCTGCTGTGTGGCCATAGTAATTCAGGCTTTTGTTCTCTAATTAAATGACCTCAGAAGGGAGCGCTAAGCTTAAGTTTGTGTGTGTGTGGTGCCCTCTGATATGGAGGTTTGTGCCAAACGTATTCAATCTCTCAATGAATAGGGCGTCTACTACAAAGCCTAAGTAGCCCCTCTGTGCCCGCTTCGCCTTCTTGTTGGTTGTTGGAAATTGGCCACAAAACACCATGTCTTTAACAAGTGGTTTCTGGGCCCCTTCACATAGTTCAGGACGTTGTAGTTAGGGACACAGTAGCCCCCAGTCTTTTCTCACTCTTCCCCACCTCTTCTAAAAACAACTGAGACTGGCACCTTTCTTGCAAGCTTGAGCTACACAAAACCTTAAATCTGTGTGTTTCTGCCATAGCAAAGCACAAAGAAAGCTTGAAAGATGCATGTTCTCCTGTTTTGGCCCTGACGATATCAGCAGTTCAAAATATGGACAAGAACATTGTTTAAGTTTCACTCAAACACCCAAATAGAACATATTTCCTCAATTACCTCAAATGGTATCCAGCCATGTAGCTAGCTTTTGTTTATTTGTCCATCTTGTTTATGAGATATCTTCTGCTCGCACAGTGGAGGTATATGAGATGTAATTTGTGGCGCTGACAGCATTAAAACAATACATTTGAAATACTCATCTGCAAGAAACGGTGCTCCCGTACTCCGGATAATCTACAGATATCACTGTCAACAGTTTTCACGGAGTATTTCTTGAACAGAAAGTAGTTCTAGTGAAAACTGTTGACGTTGAGGTCTGTGGATTATCGAGAGAAACGGACACTGGCTCTGAAAAACACATTGCTGCTGTTGTTTTTTATTTTATTTTTGTGTGTGTGTTGGTTTCAGCAGTGGCCATTCACCTCCATTTATCTGTGGGGGAAGTAGTAGTAGCATTAATTAGGTATTCATGACCAAATAATGCTTTTATCTTGTATTGTTTTTGTATTATTGTCTCTTGGGTATTATTGTCTTTACACTTGTTAAAGCACTTTGTAACTTGTTTTTGAAAAGTGCTCTACAAATAAGATTATTATTATTATTATTATAAATAAACAAAAGTCAAAGTGACACCTGCCTAACCTGGGAAACAGAGAAATCACATGGAAATATCTGACTGCTAATGTTCACCAGCCGGTCACTAACTTTGTTTGCCATTTTTTCTGGGTAGGAGGCATACGGTTGTCTGGCAGCACAAGCAACCCCACAACTGTCAGTAGATTTAGATTCAAATATTTCTCGGCCATGATTGGTGCACAGAGTTATGTGACGCTGTCGTTTTCCTGATCAAATTAGTGAGAATAGCGCATGTAAAAACACAAATACAAAAGTCTTATGTGCCATAAATACAACTTTGGCTGAAAATGTTCCTGTGAGACCCGGCCACACACAGGAAAAAGCTGATTGAGGAAATATGTTTTTGTGGCCTTTCAGATTGGGAAGCAGGCTTTATGTTCTTCAGACAGTTGGTGCTTCGTATCCGACTAAAGGCACTTCATATTTATGACTTGCGTTGTCACAGGTTGCACGCCAACTCTATTTTTCAAATGTCACGGCCTCTGTCTGTCTCCCTTCACTGTACACCATCATAAAAATAATCCTAAAAGGGCATTTGAGCCCAAGCGATAAAGTCCCAACATAGCAACTGTTATTGCTGTTGTTGTTGGCTAATGCAGGCTTTTGGATGGACGCGTGAATGAATGTCTGCATGCTGACAGCCTTCAGCCATTACAACCACCTGGCACGTCTCCACGCCATCAGCCTGGAGCACCAGTTGTGAGGGTGCGGAAGAGGCACGGCTCCATCCGTAACCAGATCCAGCTTTGATGAGTGGAACATTAACAGCTGCTCACGAGGGTGTAAGAGAGGGGGCAGTGAGAGTATTTCTGTGTGTGCGTATATGTGTGTGCTGTTGTGTGTACGCCCATGTGTGTTAGCACAAATGAAGGAGAGGGCGGGGGAATTGCAGATGACATCTTAATTGGCCTCCAGTGCCAGATACCAGCCTCTAAAGCCATCCAGGACCGTCCAGGCTGTAACAGTGTCTCAGCAGCCAGGCAGGGCTTTAGGAGCCCGCTGGCTCCACTGAATGCTCCCACGGGTATTAGGTACTGCAGTGCCTCCCCTCCTCTCTCTCTCACACACACACACACACACACACACACACACACACACACACACACACACACACACACATAAACACCCTTCTTCTTCCCGCTCCATCCTTCCTGCAGAGCACTCTTGAGGCATTGTCAACACCAGTCAATCTGAGGCAAATTCAGACGAAGAAAACCTAGAGGGCAACAAAGGCCTGAGCGTCTTTGTGATGGATCTATTCATACTGAGGCACTGAGGTCTGGCTTTTCTGCAGCGTTATGCATCGTTTGAATTGAGGACCCCCACCCCCAAAGGGGGAAAAAAAACTCCTTGTGTATAGTGTATTGATGTCCTGTAAACATCCCGTAAGCTTTCAAGTAACTGTTGCCTTACTGTCTAATTACCAACCTCTAACCCCTTAGCCTGTCAACTCTTGCTCTTCAGCTTTTCGCTCTCGTTACCTGATGTTTTTCTCAGAAGAAAAGGAAACTAGGTCGGATAAATTATTCCGCTCACAGATGTACTTGGCCACATGACAGTACATTTGTTTGATCTACAACTGGAGCACGCAGGCACTCTGCAGTTAAATAAGGAGAGTGGAAGTAAAGGTAGAGGACTGATATTAAAGTTGAGTCTGATTAGTGAACAAGAGAGAGGTGGTACTGCAGCGTGAAATAGGCTGCTCACAAAATGATTAACTAATATTCCTGTTTGACATTATTCTTGGTGGAGTGGAGGAGTTTTAGCTGTCTGCTCTCCAAAAAAAAAAAAAATACTGTGATCAAATGAAATGGGAATCCATTTTTAATGAAGTTACAGTTTAGTCTCTCACACAGCAGCGTTTAGCTCTGACAAGGAATAATATTTTTAAGAGGTAATTCGTGTTAACTGGATTTGGGTTTAAATTTAAGTCAAAATTTGTAGCAGAGATGTAAAATATGCATCAGCTGAGTGCTATTTGAGCACAGTTCTGAGACGTGTTAAACACTGATCTGCATAATAAACAAAGATCCAGGATGTGGAAGTCTGAGATGGTTGTGTTTCGCTTGGATAACCATTCTGACATCCAAGAGTCTAACTTCTCACCCTTTTCTGTCTTGCTACCTGGCTACACTATACAGTATTTATAAGTATGCAATACTTTATAGAGAAGTTGTCTAATAGTTCATATAATAAGCAATTTATCTACTGTCCTAAATATACAAAATACCCATATGTCCTGACCTCACCTGCATCTAACTTCCTGTTGTCCAGAACGAGCCATCGCCAGACACGAGGTACGAGAGATCGAGCAGCGGCACACGCAGGATGGCCAGCGGGAACGGGACTCATCGGCCTCATCGCTGTCCGAGAGCGACGACGACTTGGTCATCATCTACAACCGCGTACCCAAGACGGCCAGCACCTCTTTTACCAACATCGCCTACGACCTGTGCGGGAAGAACCACTACCACGTCCTGCACATCAATACCACCAAGAACAACCCGGTCATGTCCATACAGGACCAGGTCAGAGCGACCGCTGACACAAACATGAATTCCCCCTGTCATTTGTAATGTGTTTTCTTGATAGTCCTTCATTATTGTCACTGTGTGGTAAACTGTATGTACTAAAAAGAGCATTTCATCCATTGTAATAATAATCATTATCTGATTCAGGTGCGGTTTGTAAAGAATGTGACTGAGTGGAGAGAAATGAAGCCGGCTTTCTACCACGGACACGTCTCCTTCCTGGACTTCACCAAGTAAATATATTGTCTTGCAATTGTCTTAAAATGGCAACATTGTTTACACTTTCTTCACTCTGCTCGGGCTTTGTGCAGGCAACACCACCTTGTGGTCATTTGCAGCTTTTCACTTACACAGTGTAGTGTAATGATGTGAATGCAGCACAAAGTAACATTGCCGATCCTCAGTAACAAAGCATATTACTCAGCTCTGAAATCAGCTAGTTGTGTCTGTCTTGAATCTTGGATTGAAATCCTGTTGAGCACTTCAACCTGATTGAAGTGCTGTCATTTTTCTCAGGTTTGGGGTGAAGAGGAAGCCCATCTACATAAATGTAATCCGGGACCCCATCGAAAGGCTGGTGTCCTATTATTACTTTTTGCGTTTTGGGGATGACTACCGGCCCGGCTTGAGACGCAGGAAACAAGGAGACAAGAAGGTTAAAATCCACAAATACTGTCGTAAATACATAATTATTTTAAAGGATAGGTTCACAATTTTTCAAGTCTGTAAATAATAGTCAAGTGTACCCTAATGACTAACTCTTAATTCACTTTAAATTTAAGTGATGAGGGACAAAATCTACCATCCTCGTACTGTGCAAAAACATATTCAAAAGGTTATCTAAAGTTAATATTAAGCTTCGGCGGTCTGTGTTAATCAAGAGGATATCTTCCAAAGTTTGGAAGATACCACTTTATTTGAATAACTTTTGAAGCCTCATATTAGCTTCAGATAAATTTCGGAATACATAGTTGCATGGAGTGAGGTCTTGATTTTTGTCCCCCATCACTTACATTAGAGGCTTAATGGTCAGAATGAACCTGACTATTGTTTGACTTCAATCCTGGATCCTTGAACTAATTTGACAAGCAAGCATTTCTTTAAAAATGCCTTGCGTTTGTGTTTCAGACATTTGATGAATGTGTATCAGCCGGCGGCTCAGACTGTGCCCCTGAGAAACTCTGGCTACAGATTCCCTTTTTCTGTGGTCACTATTCTGAATGCTGGTAAGTACTCACCTGGCACTGTACCATGTTCAGACAACCATGAGTCAGAATTATGATCTTTATACAGTATTTGGTGTGACCACCCTTTGTCTTCAAAACAACATCAATTATTCTAGGTACACTTGCACAAAGTCAGGGATTTTGTAGGTATTTTGTCATCAGGTGTATGATGAAACAATTATACCATACAGGTGCTGTTGATCACCAATGCAATATGTAGACTGAAATACAATAATTAACTGAAACAGTAACAGCTGCATAGGAGTGATACAACTAGGCGAAGAACAACCAAACTCTGCTAACAAGGTGAGGTTGCTGAACACAGTTTACTGTCAAATGTCAAACACCATGGCAAGACTGAACACGGCAACAAGGCACATGGTAGTTATACTGCATTAGCAAGGTCTCTCCCAGGCAGACATTTCAAGGCAGTCAGGGATTTCCGCATTTGCTATCCAAGCTCTTTTGAAGAAGCACATAGAAATAGGGAACATTGAGGAATGTAGATGCAGTGGTCAGTCAAGATGCAGATAACATCATGCTTATTTCCCATGGCAATCGGAAGATGTCCAGCAGTGCCATCAGCAGAAAAAGGTGGGACCCTGTTACACCCATCTACTGTCCAAAGAAGTCATAAATGGCCTTCATGGAAGACTTGTGTTCAAAAAGCCATACCTGCAACATGGAAGAAAGGCCAAGAGACTCAACTATGCATACTAACACAGGTACTGGGGTGTAGAGAAATTGTTAACATTTGAACTATTTGGCTGTAGCAGAAGGCAGTTTGTTCAAATGAGTGTCTGCAGGCAACAGTGAAGCATGGTGGAGGTTCCTTGCAAGTTTGGGGCAGAGTTGGGGATTTGGACAGAATGAAAGGTCTCTTCAATTTTGGGAAGCACAAGCAGATACTTATCCTTCATGCAAAACCATCAGGGAAGCATCTGATTGGCCCCAAATTTATTTTGCAGCATGCCAACGACTTGAAACATACAGCGAAAGTCATTAAAAACTATCTTCAGCGTAAAAAAGAGCAAAGAGTCATGGAGGTGATAGTAAGGCCCCCATAGAGCTCTGGTGTCTGAAGTCTGTCTGGGATTACATGAAGACACAGAAGCAAATTAGGCTGCCTAAACCACAAAAGAACTGTGGGTAGTTCTTGAAGATGTTTGGGCCAACCTACCTGCCGAGTTCCTTCAAAAGCTTTGTGCAAGTGTACCAAGAAGAATTGATGTTTTAGTTATTTTTTCGCTTTCCTAACTGTTTATTTCATCTTAAGGCTAATGATATTGTTAACAAGTCTCAAGTCTGAAATCAACAATGAACTGATCCTACTGCCTAAGTATTGTGTGTGTCATCAAAGGCTTATCTTATTCATCTGTACCATATAGAGCTCCACTGTTATACCAAAAAGACATCAGTGAGCCACACTGTTACACGCGGTGACATGTTCCTTAAACACAATGAACATGGACTCTGTGGTTTATTTGAGTAAATCCCACATAGACCATTCTGCATTCTGGTGCATCAAATACTCATTAGCACACAAAATGTGCATTAATCCACGGTTGAAAATAGTTCCAAAAAACGAACAACTTACCTCTGCTTTAGTAACTTTTGCTTACAGTGCCCTGCTGTTTTAGGAAATTATTTAGCCTTTTTTAAAAGGGAAACTTTATTTCCGTGAAGTTTATGAAGGTGAATAATTGGGCACAGAGTTTAGTATCACAGATAGGGTAGGAAAGATGGTATGCATTGAGAGACAGACTCATGGTCGGGTTTTGTCTTGAGATTTGCTTTGAAATAACAAAAACATTGCACATTATCCTTTCCTCACCCCAGGCAGTACAAATAGTTCAGGGCGCTGTATCAATTTTGGTTCATAATGCACCACATTAAACCTCATAATCCTTTTCCATCACTTCTGATACACTAATTTTTCTCAAGGTCTCCATTGGGTCTCTCAGCCTTGATCCGGTCTCTCTCTGCATGATGATCTGTATCAATCTCTCCTATCTCTCTGCCTCTCGTCCTTCTTACCTTTCTTAATCTCTCCTAGACTCTGCCCTCCATCTTTTAACCATCTACCCTCCTGATGCAGGTTACCGAAGGTCTGAGTTTCTAGGATTCAGTTTGCTGGGGTGCACTGGCAGTATCATAAAGTAGTGGAAGGCACCTTGGAAATATTAAATAAATACTGAAGACAAAAAGGTGAAGTGACTGCCAGTCCTTTAATGATCTGTTTAACAAGGCTTTGCCAAAAAGTTACTTTATAGGATTAAACAATCTACTTCCCCCCGTGTTTCATTTCCTGACCATGATGACACATCCCACTGGCGTACTTTTTTCGTCTTCCATTCCTTCCTGCTTCTCTCCTCCGTCCTCTGTTCCTCCTGTTGTCTCAACCCTGTCTGGACCTTGTTTACAACTCACATCTCACTTAATCATTTTTCCTGTCACTGTCTCTGTACCTTTCAGCTTTCCCCTGCTGCTCATTTGTCACTCTCTTCCTCCCCTCCATTTCTGCTCGTGTGATGTTTTGCATCCAGCAGATTGGTCACTATTTTAGCAGAATACCAAGAAAACAAACTAGGCACAATGACTGTGATGTCTGTGCAGGAACGTGGGCAGCCAGTGGGCTCTGGAGCAGGCAAAATACAACCTGGTGAATGAATACATGCTGGTCGGAGTAACAGAAGAGCTGGAGGACTTTGTCATGATGCTGGAGGCCGCACTGCCACGCTTCTTCAAAGGGGCCACTGAGTTATACAAAACAGGTCTGCTACATTGTTAAAAACCATTCGCTGTTTTCAGTCATATAGTATAATATAATGAAAGGCAACTTAAGGGCTCACTCCCACTGCAATGATAAAATGTGTGTTCGTGTTCTCTGGATGCATATTAGCAGTTTAAATTGCTCCTCTGGGAATTGAATTGTGATCAATATGCACTCATGCTTCTCGCTGATGTAGCTACAGATTAGTTACAATGAGTGCAGCTAGGATGAATAATGGAGAGCCAGAATTAAGTCTGACAGTGATGTAGATGTCCTATGACTCAAGTATGATGTTCATCACTTTTAGCAGCAGATAAACCCCAGTACTCAAGTTAATCAGGTGTTTATTAAATGAATGTGAAGAGTGAGTCCTTGTTTCAGAAGTCATGCTGTCTCAGTTATCACGTTTTTGCTGACTGGCAATCTGACTTGGGACTTTCATTTAGCTAAATTAAAGCTAGGCCTAAAGAGAAATATAGAACTCCTCAAACGGGAGTGAAAGCTGTGTCATATATTCACAATAATCATTTCAGACATTTTGGTAAATACTCTTATTTGCTTTCTTGCTGAAAGTTAGTTGAGAGGGTTGATGCCACTCTGTTGTATGTGCGGTAAATATGAAGCTATAGCCAGAGGTAATAAAATCCACCTCACTAAGCTCACTAATCAACACACTACATCTTGTTTATTTCATATTGGACGAGGTTTTGTGTGGGACTATTTCTTAGCAGGGTGCAGGAACATCCTGGTGTATGTATGTATAAATAAATGAAAATAACCCCATATTAAACCACAACTTGATGTGTGTATTACACTTTTGTATGAATTAAACAAGTGTTTTCAGTCTAAGCTAAGCTAATTGGCTGAGTGCTCTTGATCTTCTCATCTAACTCAGCAGGAAAGTGAATAAGCAAATTTCCTATTGCATTACTGATGTTATATTTACAGCAAGCTAAATTGTGAATTTATTTATTTAATTTCATAAGCACATTTTTTACATGGATATGGCTTCAAGCTTAATATACTGTCTATTTGATTATAATGTCAGCTATGGTTTTTAAAAAAAAGTAGATTAGAGCAGAGAAGACTGTGCATTGCATGTCTGAATCCTGTTTTTTGGGTGATAAAACCCTGCAGCTAACACAAGGAAATCCTGATAATTAGAATGATTTACTGTTTAGGATTCATATGTTGAGTAAGGACAAGTTTAGTTGTGACATATGGAGAGGTGATTGAAGTTGCCTGTAAATTGCGGCAATTCATTTTTGAAATACAGTAACAAAGAAGGAATCAACCACTTCAACAAAAAAAGAAGCTAGTACTATAAAATAAAAGCATGATGATGCCTGCAATAGGATGAAACCAGTCACATGCGTGCATAAATGTTGAATGATTGAGTTCATGTACCCGGACCCCTTTAATCCTCCTCTCCTCTCGTGACAGGGAAGAAATCCCACCTGAGGAAGACCAGCGAGAAGAAGCCGCCCACAAAGGAGTCGATCGCCAAGCTACAGCAGTCGGGTTTCTGGAAGATGGAGAACGAGTTCTATGAGTTTGCACTGGAGCAGTTCCAGTTTGTCAGGGCACACGCTGTCAGAGAAAAGGACGGGGAGCTGTACCTACTTGCACAAAACTTCTTCTACGAGAAAATCTACCCCAAAAACTAAACAGACACGTGTTGGTAGAAGAGAGGACACTTGGTAGAGGCTCCGATGTGCAGTCTGAGATGAAAAACGATAGGTAAAGTGTGACTAATAGACTGCTGGTGACCGCTGGTTTGTACGTGCGACTGAGAACATAATGGGGAGCTGCAGAACAATCCGCCTCTGACGCAGCGAGGAGGAGCTCGTGTCCCCCCCCCCAGGCCTACACTCCCATTCACCTCCATTTAAAAAGGCACATGTTCGGAGACAGCGTGTCCAACAGCTAGTCAGACCTCGACTCCTGATTGGCCTCACTGTTCTCCGATCCAGACATTTTCATCGGCTCTGTACTGTTTGGTTGTGTTTGGTTGTATTTTAACTCTTTACTATGGTTGTCTTTTGTATGTGGTGAAACAACATCCTCATGCCTCACCACTACTACTAACTTAAAGAGATTTTAAGCGTAAGAAACTCACTACTGTGCTGTATTATTGGACTTGAATGAGAACTTTCAAGGTTTTTATGAAATAAATACCCTGTCACCATGGACTATTTAGTGGGGCAAGTGCGTATGTTTTATACTTTACTTGATGTGTTTTGTTAGATGACTCATAAATGTGCAGCTTTGCCCAGAGGCTTTTCCTCTGTAAGGAAGGAAGCATTTCCACAAGAACACTTACACAGGTGAAGATGCTGCTGCTGTAAATATTAATGTCCATTTCATTCACAGATTTGCTACAATATAAAATCAACTTGTTTTTACTGTTAACACCCTTTTAAAATTATAGTCTGTTCAATTGATCAGTTTATACATTTCTTTCAACTCTTTTACTTCACTTTTTAGCCTGCATTTTATTTTTTGTCATGTTCTTTTCATTGTAGAACCAGTTAAACATGCGTATCCACTGATATGTTACTCTGCTGCTTAAAGGAATATTCCAACAATTTGTGAAATGCATGTATTTGATTTCTTGCCAAGAGGTAGATGAGAAGGTTGAAACCACTCTTAATATTAGTGCCTTAAATGAAAAGCTTCAGCTGGTTAGCTTAGCTATGCATAAAGACAAGACAGGGGTAAACTACTAACCAGTCATTTTTAACTCCCTCTCCTATACACGACAAACTTGTTTTTTCAGTTCAGTTTTTTACAGATAAAACTAACAAGATACAACTTGTTAATAAGTGATCGTTAGAGGTGCAGGTGGGTGGATTATGTTACCTTTGGACAGAGCCAGGCTAGCTGTTTCCCCCTGTTTCTATGCTAAGCTAAGCTAACAAGCTGCAGCATTAAATTTAACAAACTGATGAGAGAGTAGTATTGCTCTTCTCATCTAACTCGTAAGAAAGCAAATATATTATTTCCCAAAATGTGAAACTATTCCTTAAAATCTCTGCTGTTTTCTTCCACATAAAAGATGAAGAAGTGGCGAGGTTGGTCATTAATTAGCTAATTTACTTGTGTAGTTTACATCTCTGGTTTTCTGAAAGGTTGGGTTTATTAACTTTGCAGTGTTATTGGCCGATTACAGTTCTTGTCTGCCCTTCCAACTGTTGGAAAAGTTTACCATTTTATTAAGGTGTACTAGTGTGCAGGCCAAGAAAACCTTGCTTCACCGGGAAGAACTGCACTAGTGGATGTACTGTCACATCACAATTCCTTAAGTATTGAAACATACAGGTACTGATTTTCATCTGGGGACATGCTGTAGTGTACAGCTGAGTTTTTGTGTGCCTTCTCTACACCCAGCTCTCCTTGTGTTGCAGCTTTGTCAGATGGAACAAAAAAACAACATGGCTGTTTTCATCTTTTGATTGCCAAAAAATATATAGAACATTTAAAAAAAAAAAAACTACCGGATATGCGAGTGTGTTCCTTCATTTAATAAATGTTTGTGCACTGTCAGGTACAACAGAGCAGTGAGTGGTAAACACCGATAAAGCTGCTGCTGTGAAATTAAAGCTGGATTATTTCAGGGCTGGTATCCTGCAGAGGGAGATAAAGAGCTGCCAGGTCTGGGGAGTGTGTGTGTGTGTGTGTGTGTATCCATTTTCACATCCTTTCCAAATCCTCCTATAGAGTATTTGATTAGTGATTGCAGTTAATTCAGTATTTGCTGCCATACAACTTAATTAAATTATTTTTACAACTACTTGTAAGAATACAGAAGGTTGTCATATTGTCACACTCTGCCAACCAGAATGTATGTCGTTAATCGTTTCTCTTATTGTGTTTATATGAGCCAGTGCTGACACTCAGTGTTACTCATCCTTGCTGTTGGTCATCAGCTAGTGGACTCATCCCCGTTAATCTCAGATTGTTTTCCACGTAAACGCTTCCTGGTTTTTGGGCCTCTGACTCAGATAAACATGGAGGGTGTCCCCTTTGGACACCTTTATAGTTTGAGCAGGAGCATTTAACCTTTAGGACTCAGAGTTAACTGCTCTGAGGCCTTTTTATGAGGTTGTAACGAAAATATTGTGCCAACTATAAAAAACAGTCTAAAAATCCCAAACTGCACATATAAAAACATGTTGTTGCAGGAGTTATTTATTTGTAAGTCCTTACAAGATTATTTATCCAATATGTGGCTAACACTGCATTATTTCAGTTTCAAATTTGATGCCTGTGCTGGTTCTGCTAATTACCTCAGATCCCTTAGGGCTGGATGTCATGATGAATCAGTCAACCACCAAAGTTGACAGCCTTCTCTCTATGTAAAATCCTATGAGAAGAATTTGATTCTTTTACAGTGCATACAGCATAAAAACCAGAATAGGATTCAGCCTGTGGATCCTTTCAATTTGTGTTTGGATGTTGGGGTTTAGATCAGAGTCAAATATCACTAATCCGCATATTTTTAAAGGGACCCACAAATTAAAAACGTACTTTGCTTTTTGTCGCTTCATCTGAATGTTTGAGCTTCACTGTACAGAGTGATATATGAGCAGAGTTTGACTCTGGAAGACTGTTTTCATGTTTATCTGCTGAAAGGGCCAAAGTTTAACACTTGTACTTAAGAGGTCGATTTTGTGATATCACAGACAGTTTCGAGACATAAAGGGTCTTGAAAAACCAGCATTAACATATTCATAGATTATGATTTTTTCTTTTTTTGCAATTCTCTTTTTATTGATTTACATTTAAACTTCCATCAGACATTTTATCTCCTCATACATTTTTCTCAATTGCACAGAATGGAGGTTATTTATTAGGAGGAGTACATAAGAAACATACATAGTGTAAATCTTAATGATAGTGACCCTGGCAGTTACGGCAATCATAGTTAAATAAATGATTATGAGTTTTTCAATTATAAAACACAAATTAGAGGTTTTTTTAGAATATTTTATAGATATTTAAGAAATTTTGTGCTAATTCAGCCTTTATTAGTAGAGAACAATGCGGAACTTGGGGGTTGGTAAAATGCAACAAAGTTCCCCCTCTCAAAATGTGTGTCCCTATCTAAACACTTTAGAGGCACCATTTTGCTAACACCTATCAAAATACAGTATGTGATAAAGCACGATGAAAACATGTGCAATGGCAAAATATGGCTGAAATCCCGTCATGTTGCAGAATCTGGTGTAACACCAGACTTGAGGTACATTAGATATACATGAAGATTTCTCAGAGTTTTTAAATCTTGTGAGGAAATATCTAATATTATATGCATGCCCAATAAAACATCACCATGCCATTAATCAGGGCATTAATCAACATATTTTCATTCATTAGAGCTGGAGTAACAGCTGTAGAAAGGCAGAACAACACAGTTTCTGATAACAATACATGAATTTACCTGTTGGTACAGAAACATTACACCATATCATCTCCATTCTTCCCTCACACACCAAACACTGCACCCATTTAGTGTAGGTTGTGGATATTGCTGATAGACCGTATTAATCCACATACAAAAGACAAAATCATCACGTCCCGTCTGAAGCACCTATCCTCAGTCAGGCTCTGGAGAGCATCACTGACGGAGACTTGACCTTTCCAGGGATCTTAACAGGGACACATAATTCAAAAGTCTGATCAACAAGGCCGCTGCCATTTTTATTATGTGGACAACACTCAGTTTATGAATGAGGACCCAGCGTTGTTGTCCACACCAATAAATATCTGTGACACAATGCCATAAGCACAGATAGCCCCTTGTCTCTGAGACATATGGCGTGTGATGACTGTGTCCCTGTGGATTACGTAATGCAGCAGTAAGTCTTCTCACTGAGGTGTGACATGTCATGCCCTGGCCCCAGTGGAGAAGAGTCCAGTGTTTGTCCTGAGGTTTCTTCATAGCAGCACCTCCTGATCTATCTGGCTTGGCAACTCAAAGTAAACTCAAAGTTATTCAGTCTGCCACAGCTTTTGTTTGCATTGCAGCTCTGGTTGTTTGTTCAGCATCTGAATGATCCTTTTGATTTGAACTATGCGGATTAATATTAAATTGTTGACAGTCTTTCTGAGGTGCAGCCTTGACACAAGTACAGTTTTGAGGCACTTGTACTTTGAGTTCAGTATTTATATTTTATGCTCCTTTACTACTATTTCATGGGGAAATATTGTACTTTTTACCCCATTATATTTACCCGAAAGTTATCATTATATCTTAAAATATGTTGCACATGATTTTATAGAATAAACTCTCCAACAGCCTACATATTAATGCTTCAACAATAATCTAGATATTTATGAATGTATGGCATTTTGGAAGAGGCCATTCTGAGTACTTCTAAGTTTGAGAGCTCTAATTAAAGTATATTTTGCTGATAATATGTAATTATACTTAAGTACAAATCTCAATTCCTAAATTGTATTTTGAGAGTATTTTGACACGAATGCATTGCTGTTAAGAAAAGAACCTGAGTGCTACCCCATGAGTACTTTTAATACTATACCTACATTTTTGCTGCTTATACTTCTGTACTTTTCACAGAGGTATTGCTGCTTTTACTAAAGTAAAGGACCTCAGTACTTCTTCCACCACTGATGAAATGGCAAATATCTAAGAAGTTAAAATTCTTAATCTGTAGTGAAGGATTTCCTTTGTCTACATATTTTAGCCTAAATTAAAAAAGTTGTGCTACTCTGTCCATCATAGGCCTACTTTACTTTTCATACTGTACTTAAATATTTCCTCCTGAATTAGGAGGAAGTCTCCATTATGTAAAGGTCCTGCTACAGAAGTAGCAGGACCTTTACTTGTAATGCAGTACTTTTCACAGAGGTATTGCTGCTTTTACTAAAGTGAAAGACGTTAGTTCTTCTTCCACCAGTGATGAAATGGCACAAGTCAGGATTCTCCATCTGTAGTGAAGGATTTCCTTAGTCTGCAGTCTGCACATACATTTAAACACATTTTAGCCTGACATGGGCCCTGCTAATCCATCCATAATATTTTACTTTGATATTGTACTTACATGTTTCCTCCTACAGTAGGAGGAAGCACTCCATTATGTAAAAGTCCTGCTACAGAAGTAGCACTCACTTCTGTAGCAGGACTTTACATATAATGGAGTTCTTTTCACAGAGTTATTTTATTGCTGTATCACTCAAGTAAAGGACCTCATTACTTCTTCCACCACTGATGAAATAGCACAGAATTCAGGATTCCCCATCTGCAGTTAAGGATTTCCTTAGTCCGCACATACATTTGAACATATTTTAGCCTAAATTTGAAAAGCACCCCGGCCTGAGATGAATTTTCGTCCATTTTTGTGTTTACCACAGGATGGTTTCAGGTCATTACCATGAGGTAAGGCCAGCCTATATGAAGTTTTGGATCACGTGTGTGTTAACTGTCCGAGCTGAGAGCAGCCCAGCGGCAGCAGCTCCTCTGGGCGGACTCTTCCACTCTCACCACCGCCTCTTTCCCAACTGCACTGGGACAGATTTATGCTCCAGCTTTTTTATTTATGAGCGCCAGTCCACCCTCCAGGAGCTCGCTAGGACGGTGTGACCCCGTAAATGAAGTGTGGAGACGACATGGGAAGCCCCGTGTACCCGAGATGACCGATGATTTGGTCCAAATAATCACTACTTTTTTGTCGCCAGAGAGGGAAACTTGAAACAGGGCTTGCTTTTGGAGTTCCACCTCCCCTCCTCTCTCCCCGTAGGATTTGATTCAAAGGCGAAAACCAAGATGGCCGCCGATTCCGTGCAGGTAGGAAAAGTTGACAACTGTTGCGAAAAGTGCGCAAACTTTCTCCAGAGGTTCAGTTATAAGTCAGCAAAGCTGTTTTATTTAATAAAGTTTAGTCGCTGTGAGTGGAAAGTGTTGTAATTTGGGTGAAAGGCCTCTGTCTGATCCCAAAGGGTTGTCTGGGAATTATCCATGGATTGAGGCCTGGGAAACAATTATCCAAAGTTATTTATCCTGAAATATCCAAACTTTTTAAACCTGTGATTTTGTGCGGGAGCTGCTGTGATAATTAACGTTATTGTAACTTTAACAGCCTTTGTTGTGAAAAGTTTGAACGTTAGTGTTGCTGTAATTCAAGTCAAGTAAGGGCTGTTTAACGTTAACTTGCAGCTCTGTAGCCAAACGTCAAGTTAACCTGCGCTACTTTAGGAAAATAAACACTGTCTTCTGTGTACCGGTAACTCTATAGCTTTCATTTGAATATGTTCATCCTCAGTGTGAGTACAGTGAAACATTTTCCCATGTTTCGTAAGAGCAAGTGTTCACTGGTTTGCTTGACGTAAAGTTTTTGTTTTTTTAAAAAACACGTTACACAGACCGGGATAAAGTTAGAACCTGTCACCAGCGACGTGACATAGGTCAGAAATAAATGTCTGTCCTGATCTTCAAATGCAGGTTTTTACATTTAACACACACACACACAAAAAAGGGAGCAAGTGAATGTAAGCTTTACACTCATGTCTCATTATTGTCTGAACAGCCGTGACTCACTCACTAATGTGGTTTCACTTGAGTGACGTCAGTCCTGAAATACATATTTTATGATTAAAATCTGAAAATATGGTCCAAGAGGAACAAACTCATCCAGGACTTTATCTAATCAAGTGCAGCCGAGCATGGCTTTAGCAATATCCCTCCTGTTAAAGCCAGTCTGATTACTCACGTATTATTATTGATCTTTACAGGGAGTATTGGGTTACAGGAGAAACCAAAGCTAACATTTATGAGAAGTATTTCTTATTAATTAGATGCACAGGGCTGGTGCAGACTGAAACTGATCTCTAAGGCAATGATCTGCTTGTCATGACAGTAAGGCTGTTGCTTAACCAGTTTAATCATAAAATGGCTTATTATATTATTACATCTTTATTTTATTCACTAAGCACTGGCTATGCACTATAATTCTCAGTCTGAAAAATTATCAGCTGATATAGGGCATATTATTTTCATTATTGGAATTACATCAGAAAATTATATTTTGGCAGATAATTTAGCCAGTAAAATTAAACAATACTTTAACATGTACAGCTGCTGTTGTCGCACTCATAATGTCATATTGCTGTACCTGGATAGAGCCACTTACTGAGGGGTTTGGTTTTTTTAATACTTTGAGATGTATGATTTGATATCTTATGTCAGTCCATTTGATTTATTTTGAATTGTTTTTGTTTTAATAAAATTGATGTCAGATTTGATTACGTCAGAGTTATGGAATATTAAATTACAAATCTTGCTGTACATGACATCTTAGCCTTTCTTAGAAAGAATCTATCGTGCATCACTATTAAGCACAGGTGTTTGTGTGGATTTATAAAGTTAAATTGTCACAGTAGCCCATATTATACTGAGTCTAAAAATTGTAAGCTGATGGTAAAACAGGTGTAGGCATGACAACCTGTTTCCTCTTGAGTATGAGGACATAAATAGATAAAGATGTGCCTTTATTCTCATCACAGTATTGGTAGGTTTTATAATCAAACCAATCATTAAGCCAGTTCTGGGTGGTGTAAAGTTGCACTGTTTTACTATCAGGGGTGGCTCATAATGGTTGACATCACAATTAGTTACTTTAATTTTCTGCCAGTATTAATGTATATAATGATGTGGCGAATGGATAATCGGTTCAGTGTCCACTGTTCTGTATTACATTTTTCTTAACACACTTAAAAACAAAAGCATCAGTAACAGATTGTTTTTAACAGTGTGCGTGGGATCACTAATTCAGACAGTATTTTGTAAAACAGTGAGTTCACACAATTTCAGATGTGTAATATAATTTAGTAGCTAAATGATTTAACAAAAATATGATTTATGTTTAACAACATAATATGTAACAACAGTATATTTTCTGTCACAATATCCGTTTAGGTGCAAAATGAGATCATTTACATTCACTGATTAGTAGAGTCTGACCAATATGGGATTTTTAAGACCGATACAGATTTTGGTATTTGAAGATTTTAAAATCCTATATGCCAATATATTGACCAATATTATTTTTTTTCCCCCTTCTTTTCAAAAATACATAACACATGTTAGGGATAATCTTTGTTTATGTTATGTTATAACATCACAAAATGCTGAATAAAATATAACAACAAACTAATTAAAGCTTTAATAAATAAGAGTCAAATGTTTAAAACTACAAAAAAATTTTAAAGATCCATAAACTAGAGAGTACTACTACTAATGAACATTAAAGGAAATGTGTATGTAGCCTATTGTATGGGCCTGCTAAACAGAAACTATAACTAAAAAATACTAATATACTACATCTACTATAACAATAATAATACCATATCTATAGCTCATGGCATTACAATTGTTGTATATTGTTATAATGATAAACACGGCTCTCCTACATAGGAAATTTGTTGTCGTGCAGTAGGTATTACCTTACACATAATCTGCCACAATGACTGACTTTTCAATGTAGCATATTCATCTGTAGTTTATCCCTTTACCAGCACGCTTTTCATTTTATCCAAAGCTATGAGAATTTTTCAACCGTCATCTATAATACAGTGACCCAGAGGAAGCGCTGCTGTTAAATGCGTCTAATACTACATAAATGTCTACAACAAGGACTTGCAACTTTGTGATGTCTCACTAACATTACAGATTTAAAGGAGGATCTGAATAACGTTGTGGCCTAGGAAGCCGTGTTGTTCAGCTCACGTTTATTTACATGTCCCCTATGGTTTAATCAGTCGGTGTGTCGGAAACTACTACACTCGTAGTGTATTTTGCATATTTTTAGTGGGGCTTAAACTACCACCTGGGTGTTTTACTTTCACTATGCATCTATGTTTAGCTAAACCTTAACATTTATCACCATAGTGGTTTATATGGAGTGTACCCAGATCAACTCAGCAGAGCAACAGGTGCTTCAGTACAGTTTTTATCGCTCAGTCTCTTTTGTGACACTGTAGCATTAGTTTTCTAGTCTACGCACAATAAATCTACTGTTTGTCCGGCTCAGAAACGAACATTAACATTGACCTGAAGTGCAAGATGTTACCTACAGTTTGACTTGGCATGGGATATGTCTAAGGCTTGTGTGAAGGCTGCATTTGTTGGATCTGCTGTTTATTAGCCTGTGTTACTATTTTTGGTCGCGGCCAAAACTCCTCAGCCAGCTGCGGGGTAAGACGGCCGGGTGTCAGGTTGTAGGCTGACATAGGCTGACATAGGCCTCACGCAGAAATGGCAAGGCCTTGGCTGGATAGTGCCCTCAACTTTTCCATTGTCCTATTGTCTGAATGAAGCACTTGTTATTGGAGCTTTCAGGCTTAAAGAGCAAGTTAACCTGCTTAAACTTGAGGCTCAGACGTAGTGTTTGCTTTTACCTCACAGTTTCCTTTCATGTTTAAGGCATTAAAGGGCTCTTTAACAAGTTCAACATGTGTAGGTAACAGTTATCTGTTGAAATAATGTTATCTTAGGAGTATAATATACATTATATTATCAAGGGTTTTTATTAAATACAGGTCCTAGATTTCTATAAATATTATTGTTTTTATTAGGTAGGTAACCAACCCCTGTTTTTTCCACCTAATAAATGAAGTAGCTCTTTCATTTTTGAACAAAACTTGTGGCTGAAAAAAGCTTTTAGTGACCACCTTTTCATTTGTTGTGCACCCTGAACATTTCACAGAGCAGCTAGCAGAGCTGCACTGACAAGAACAAGTTTCCTCCATCCATCAAAAACTGTATGCTTTGTGGAACGAGTGGAAACATTTGCTTACAGTTCCTGCTTCACTTGTCTTTGAACTAATAAGTCTCGAGTCTCAGTGTGGCGTCATTCCCCGTTGCCCTGACAGTGCACTCAGGCAGCAAGAAATGATAAGGGCCGCACAGGTAAAAGACCAACTCAGGGAAGTACTGCACTTATAGAGACACAAGAGGTGAAAGCAATCCTGCAAATGAGTGTGCCTGCTCTCTTTCTTTGGATATAGTTTCTTTGTTTGATCTCAAATTAAAACGCAGACCATGCGGGGTCTACCAGCTGATTTATTTCCACCTTATCAGATCGGCTTCGCATGGATTTCCTTGCATTGTTGCACAGTAAAATGGGCCCATTGGGGTGTCCTCATGCTGTCCTCATACCACGTTGGGCAAACACAGCTACAGTGCAAACAAGTTTTGCAAGGCAGTGAGCTGAAGAACAGAGCTGCCCCTCCTCTTCTTCTCCTGGGAGTTGTGACCTCCATTTTACCTATGAGTCATCAAGGAGCCCCTGCGCCAGGATATGTGCAAAACTATAGTTTCCTCTTAAGTGAGCACCTATAGAGGAGAGTGGCGGGGGGGTTCACAAGGGTATGCCAGAACTCATGGAAATCCCTCATCTTACCAAACTCCATGACGTATTTTCCCAACGTAAATACATCCGGCAGAAGTAGAGTGGATGATTTCAGGGTTTCCCCTATGTAACTGTTTTAGCCGATCATGAAATTCATAATCAATTGAGTTAGAAGATGACGGCCTAAATAATAGCCGCTAAATGTGATGGATTTTGCTGCCTATAATGTGGCCTCTCATCTTGTAGAGGAGGTGGATGTGTTTGAGATGAGGTGGCCAACCTCTGAAATAAAACACTGTGGGAAACCATGGATTTTCTGTGAAACTGTGGCATGGATTTAGGGACAATACAGCCGGCGTGGTGCTTTACTGGCTTGTGTCTGCCAGTGACAACCTTTCAGGGTTAATTCCCCAATGAGCTCTTGTGTTTTTTAAAAGCTTCGTTTTCACTTGTAGACAAAACACACTTTCAAACAACACCACTCTCTACTGTGTTTTACAGATGTGGTGGTGTCGTTCTCCTCCTCCACCACACAAGTTGCTTTCCGGGGGGGGGGGGGAGGCCACAATAGAGAGCCAGTGTTAGCCAGTGTTTTTAACTTGAGTTAATTTTAGACACAGTCCTCTCCCTGGAGTGAGATTAGGGCCCGTTCTGGTCTGCTCTGACCTCACAGAGTTAGAAGCTAAGAGGGATTTGGCTGTCGCTGCTCAGACGGTTTATCTCCCCTGTTGATGTCAATGGTCTGTGTGAGAAAGAGTGCACAACAAGAGAGCTGCACAACATCGGATACCAGCGGAGTGAATGAGTGTGGCTTCGGACCAAGCCTCCTGTCCATGCAATGATAGCTTAGCTGGCCAGCAGAACATGCATGGACTAGTCGGTTCATCTGATCTAGAGATGGAGTTGGCTGAAACCAATGAAGTTATGGTAAGGCAGAAAGATTAGTAAAGCCAATTTTTACCATCCTTTTCTTAGGCAGTTGTAATTTTAACAGTAGCCCACTGAATCAAAGCTAATTCCACTAAGAGTGTTTGGTTTGACTGCTTTCTTTTATAGTAAAGTCATAATGGCTAAAATGCAACAAGCCGCAGATCTTGTGGTAGTCACAGAGGGGTGACGTGCTGTTTTTCACATCTCATTAGGCCCATGTTCATGAATGGAATAAGCTGAACACTTTAACTCTAGCACGGTTGCTTTCAGAGGGAAGCGAGTCTCTTCTTTCCCTTACATTTTACATGTTATATGTGTTGGTTATTTTAGTGAGTGCACTTTACATTGATAAATTTTTCCAAAACATTAACGGTCACAGATGTAAAATAACAAATCATTTGCATAGCTAATTGAAAAGTTGTCAGTAAGGGCACGCTTTTGGCTACTTTGGTTTGTAATTTTGGCCTGTTTGAGCTATGATGATGTTGTTGCTTCACAGTTTTAAAAATTATGTTGTCCAACTTCAAATTTAAAATTGGAAGATATTATTAAACCTGAGAACTTGGATTGGTGAACAGTGTAATGAAATGGAGTAAACTGATTAGTCATAGTCCTCAAGATAGTCAGACGTATTCTGTGATCAACTAGTGGAACGTAACCGGTTCACCACTGCATTCATGATTAACTTTAACGCTGAAGCCATTCAGGAAGTGCCTTCTAATCCCTCTTTAGTTAAGGTGACGGCTTAAAGGATGCAGGTAAATGGTGACTGACAGCACAGTGAAAACACCACATACAGAGGCCAGCTCAAGTTCAAAATGCACCACTACACGGGGGTTGACCTCAGGATGCTCAGGCAGACTGTATTAAATCTCTGAACCTCTTGTTTAGTAAACATATTTTCAGTGCATTTAAGTCATTATAACTTCAGATGCATTTATTTTGAATAAGTTTATTGTAGGATTTGTAAATGATCACCTGATGTGCAGGATCAAGTCAGATTGTTATAAACTCAGTGATTGCTGGGATCAAACTGTCTGTGGCTCCGTCTCTGTTGTTATTGGTTCCTTGCTGCTGTCATGAATCAGAAGAAGGAGCTTTATTGCTAAGTAGTGTTTTACACATACAAGGAATTTCCTGTGGTGATAAGGTGCTACACGTAGACAAACAGACAGTCAACATAAATAAATGTAGAAATATATAAATATGGAATGGATGAACAACGTAGCAGATATATACATGTGAGCAGGCACTTACGACAAAATGGAAATTCAGGCATTTTATATGTAGTTTCAGCTGTTTTGAAACAATGTTGGTGCATTGCTTTTTTTTACCCGTCCTTGAGAGTTCATATTGCTGAGTCCTGTTGGTTAAACTACTCAAAAAAACGGCAGTATGCACGGTCTATTTGTTGACTGAGTCACTGACCTCTGTATGTCCTCTCCTCCTTACTCTGTTATCCCATTTTCCTTCTCCTCCTCCCTTGCTGACCTCCTCTCAATTACATTCCTCTCATCTCGTCTTTTTCCTCCTCCTTCAGGGGGACGCCAGAGGCCAGCTGGTGGCGGAGCGACTGGGTCTGGGACACAACCTGGACCTGTCCGACACCATGGTCCAACAGAAGCTGGACGAGATCAAGGAGCAGATCCGACGCGAGATCCGCAAGGAGCTGAAGATCAAAGAAGGTGCAGAGAACCTGCGAAAGGTAAAATCACTTTGTTGTCTTTCTCTCAAAGGGGCACTTTGCTGATTTAGTATTCATTGTTAAAATCAGACAGGCTATATTCTGACTTTTATCCTGACAGAGTATGGGTTATTCTCCAAGAACACTGGATCATACATTTCTGCAGCCAGTAGCATTTTTCCTGCCTGGTAAACGCTCATGTTTTTCAAACTCCATGCTGCCAGTTTGTAGTCTTCAAGGCCAAGCTGACAGTAGACATAACACAACTGTTCTTGCCAGTGTAGTGCTCCCAATGACTATTAAGCTGACATTTATTATTAAAGTTAAGAGTTTGCTTTTAAAATCTTATCAATTGTCACATTTTTTTTAAGTCTCCTCCACTCCCCTCTCCTCAGGTCACCACAGACAAGAAGAGCCTGGCTTATGTTGACAACATGCTGAAAGAATCTAACAAGAAGGTTGAGGAGCTTCACCAGGAGCTGCAGGAGCTCAACGCCCACATTGTGGTCAAAGACCCTGAAGAACTGTTAGGTAACAGAAACACTACAGCAAAGTAACTCCAGAGGATTTAGTAAATATTAACCAACTCGTAAAGTTGATACAAGCTAATGTTATATGGCCAATTGCAGTATCCACATTGCAGAGGCTGCAATTTTTGGATGTAGATAAAATGCGTGAATAAACAGCATTATGATGAAGTGCTGTAGAGCCGCAGAGGTGCCCCTGCCTACAAATCTTGTTCTCCAGATCTGGTACAGACTCCAACAAACGTCACATCATCATGATTTTTATAGTTTTTTTTTTTCATTGAAAATAAAAATTGTGATGCAAAAACAATCATTCCAACTAATTGTAAATCATATCGTTACATCTGTCAAAAGAATAGCAATAATATTTTTTCATGCAGCCCTAGTACTAATATATATTTTAGTTGTGCACTTTTACATCAGCTAAATGTTCCTTGTGTTTAAGCATTGAAATCTAAGGTTAGTTACATCATGCTAAAATTATAACTGAAAACTTTTTTTTTTTGGTTATTTGTTTGCATCTCTATTAATATTTTCAATCAAAATTAGTGGGTTGACACGGGCAACAGAGTATTTGTATAGAAGCAGGGTCTCTGTGTCTTACAGTCACATTTACATATGGTACAATCTCACAAAACGCCAATGAACATCTCTTCCACATATTGTCATTCTATCCATACTAGCATTTTTTTTTTTCCAAAAGCAAAGTATCGCTGAGTAAATAATATTGGCAATGTTGTGTCAGAACAGCACCTATATGAGCACACAGAGCACCCTCAGTGTTTGGAGGTGACTCACTCTCCAGAGGCCGACATTGTTGCATTCCACATTCCTCCGACAGTTACAATGAGCTGTCGATTGTTCCCCTCCGAGGCTGCTGAAAGCCTGCTCCTGTGCGTTTGTCGAAAACAATGGAATTGGAGAGAGTTAACCACAACAGTGGCGTGTGTGCATTCAATATGGTTTTGTTACAGTAGTTGCCTTATGCAGTATTTGTTGGTGCCGAGCGTCTGGGTGAATGCAGGAAGAGAAGGAATGGTATTTGTCTCCCTGTTGCCATCACGTCCCCCCGGTTCAGTTGATATTAGGAAGTAGATGAGGAGGTGTGTGTGTGTGTGTGTCCGTGTCCTGGGGGAGGGAAGGGAGGTTGTCTTGGTAAATGGTTATCTTAAGTGGGAACAAATTTAGCCTGACTCGGTGACACTCTATCTGATGAACGAGGGTTTTCTTTTTAAGTGACGCGACGCCAGCGGAATGTCGCTGGCTATTGCAAAGTGATGGAGAGGCACTGAGGGCAGCTCGGCTCCGCAGTCATGAGACGGACTTGTTGAAATACATTTTAGTTCTTGAATCCGCAAGAGACAGCACTCTCTTCCTGAATTAGTAGGAAGGAGTTGCTCAGCCTCTGTGAGCAGCCAGAATGTGTTTTTGTTCCAGGAGAAAGTCGAGGGGACTCTGGTTATTCTCCGCCACTCAGCTGAGGCCAGAAATGGACCGACTTGCTCTCGGGCACCGTCTGGGAGAAGCAGCAGCAGCTCTGACGCCAGGTTGCCAGCCAGGTCCCTCTGTCAAATATGATCCCATTCATAAAGAGGCTTACCCCAAAGTCAGCGGTTTACTCCCTGAATACAAGTCGAGTGTGTTTTCCTTCCAGTCATCATATCACATCTCAACTGTCAACCACCCCCGCCACTTTTAGGTCCAGCTCGCCAAATCGTGAGGCAATTGTTTAGAAAGTATTGTTAGCATGTTTCTTGCTGACTTCTCATCAGATACAGATGGGGTTAATCTGAGGGAGGGTTCCCCTTGTCAGCTGTCCAGCAGTGACATCAGTCCTGCAGCTATTCAGCTATTCCTCTGTCAGCGTAGCTCAGCCTCAGCCTGGAGGGTGGGGGTCCTTGAATTCTTGGCTTGATGTGACCTTGACTACCCCCCCCCACCCCCCCACCACCGCGCAGAGAGGAAAGCCCCCAAACGCAGCGCTTTTGCATGTGTGTTTCTAAGCGAGCCTTTGTCATTTTCACAAACAACTTTCTCATGACATTGACTTAACGTGACTTAATGTAATCACTATGACACTACAGAGCCTTGTTATGCAATATGGGTTTTAGGAACGCTAAAGTCAGTTTTTCCCCAAGCCCCTGTTGATTTCCCACCTCTCTCCACAGGCTTTTCTAGAGATGTGGTTTGGATGAGAATCTTAAAGTGCCCACTCCTAGCTGTTTTTCCCATCTAGCCCTGCCCCTGTCACTGTGTATGGTTGTATACAAGAGGGTTGCCCCAGGGAGGTTAACATCCTCCCGTCCTGCCTATTAACAGAAACCTCAGCGGTGATGCCCTCTCAGCTTATTAAAGGTCATTAAATGAATCATTTAGCCTTTAAGTTCAAAGAATCACATGCTTCCTATTTGCCTGTATCCCGCAGGTGTTCAAAGGAATCTTTAGACTGTCTGTTGATGAAACGTTCAGAGTGAATGAATCACAGACCCACCTGCTGGTTATTGTTATCTGTGTTTGGCAGCGTCTTCTGAATAACTGATTTTCCTCACTGCTGTTATTTTAGGTAATGCCAGTGGGACTCACTAAGATGGATTCAAGACCCTCAGGGAAATCAGATATTTCTTTTTATTGGGAGTATTTGTTATTTCCATGTCATCAGTTGTTTGGTTTTTTTTGATGGGAGTTGAAAATATGCATAGAAGAGAACTGAGCTAAAAGACTTTTAGTTATAATAGGCTCCTGTTTCTGAGAGGAGTTCCTTTATGACACCACAGACTCCTAAACTGAACTTGCAAGTCAAGTCAGGAGAAGTCAGGCAGGTTTTTTTGCCCACCTTGTGTGTGTGTGTGTGTGTGTGTGTGTGTGTGTGTGAGAAAGTTTTTGCTTTGTGCTGCAGTGATCAGTGTGGGGAGGGGTTTTCTCTGCACCTTTCGAGTCCAGACATGACAAAAAATACGCAACAAAACAGTGAGCTCATCGAACAGAACTGTGGTCCAGCTCAGGGGATAGACAGTTTTTGTGTCTGCGTGGTGTGAATGCATGAGAAACTCAAAAGCCTAAATATGGATGAGCCCAGCAGCATCGTGTTGTCCCAGTTGCTTTTAGGGTCTGGACACAAAGCAATATTAAAAAAAGTTTGAAATTTGCATTGTTGTGCAATAAGGGATAGCGACAGAAATGTAGTATTGGTAGTTGTCTGCAAGTTCACACTTGTTGTTTGGTTTTTTTTTTGTTTTTGTTTTTCAGTTGCTCAGTATAGAGATAGCTGCAGGGTTTCCATGTTAAACATTTCAAAAGATTTCAGGAGAGAGCCAATGAGATAACAGAAGATGCGTTTGAATTAGCAGCTTTGTGTTACGATATCAATGCATCATACCGAATCAAATTCAAGTCAAAGTGAACATTTGTGTGCTCTGGGTTCACCTATGATGTGTTTTAATCACACTTTTATTTTCTGTGTCTGGTAATATAGCACAAAAGTTGCATTAAAAAAAACCTCATCCATCATCCTGAAATTCTGCTTTATGTTAAATCTTAATGCTGTTGACTTGTGTGACTCTGTCTGTGTTGAGGGAGTGAGGCAATTGGAGTAGGGCTGAAACGATTCATCGATTAAACTGATTAATAAAATGCATCGATGCTTCGTTTAATCCATATAACTATACAGCCCACTGTTTCGCACGGACATTTATTACTGTCGCGCTTGCGCTGTGAACACCACGTGATTATAATGGCGCTGTGTGCAAAGTGGAGGAAGAGAGAGAAAAAGAAAAAAGTGTCCAAAGTATGGGATTAGTTTAAGCTAAAGAAAACAACAACTCTGCAATGTTACAGTCTGTCCACGTAAAACGAAATTAATGCTGCCTCGTCAACAGCACGACGGCATCTGATCAGAAAGCACCCGGTGTGGACCACAGACAAGCAAAAGTACTTCTTAAATGACGCATTGATGAATCGTTGAAATAATCTATAGAAACTTCAAATACTAAAATCATCGTTAGCTGCAGTCCTAAATTGGAGTCTTATGCTAACACACCTCATCAAATTATAAACAGTCGACCTTTCTGGATACTTTATGTGACTGCTGAAGTTGCTACCTGACGTGTTTTTGTAAGCAAAGCTGTAGGTCTTTGTACTGTGCTGCAGGACTGTTTTGCTAACTTCAAAATGGCTGGCAGCCAAAAAGAGCACACGTGCAGAGTTGCTATTTATAGTCAGTATGTATCTGTGACAAACTCCAGTAGCACATACGGAGTCATATCTGTGGTTGTTTCCAAAATGGTCATAAGGTGGTAACTTTTATTTCTTCTTTTCTTTACCCAGAATTCCCTTTGACCCCAGATACGCCCAACAGTGAGGCGAGAATGTGCACCAGCAGCAGCCGCCTGGCCGCCCTGAAAAGACAGAATGACATCGAGCTCAAGGTCAAACAGGGTGCCGAGAACATGATTCAGATGTACTCCAACGGGTCCTCCAAGGTGAGATTCAGCAGGAGGGGGTTGAGGGTGTTCACATGACATTCAGCTTTGAGCTTGGTCATGTCAGGATGCCAAGTGAGTGAAATCAGTTGTGTTGTATTTAAACGATTTTGGGCATAATATACTTTGGCAGTAACAACATTGTACTCACCTAGTACATCTGGCAACCCAAACAAATTGGGTAAGAAACACAAGCAGTCAGACAAACTCTCACGTTAGCCGAACTTATTTGAATAAGAAAATGAGGCTTTACAGTAAAATTATGACCCAAACTGTCTGTTGTACAAGCAGTCAGTCAATAAATCAACTTCCTGGTTCAACAGAGAATTATTGTACTTTCCATAGTTGTGTGCACACAGAGTTAAGGATTATCAGCAACATAAATTTGTGCTCGCTTTCTGTTGTACCTGTTGTAAGGGTGTAAAACCCGACCTTTTTGGCTTGTAACTCCTCAAAGCAAAGCCATATCCACCTGTGACCCTCATCATTACATTTGTTGGCTGGTTGTGACGAGTCCAACGGGGGGAAAAATGCCCTTGTTTGATGTGAATAGTTTAAGGGGCTTAATGATAAGGGAACAATAATAAACACAATAATTACAAGAGAGTCTCTGGACCTCCGTATTGGGGACCACAGTTTTAGATAATATGCTTTAATTGTTGTCGTCTTCACAAACTGTCTAAATGTCTGACTGCTTGTGCTTCTTGCCCCGTTGGCCCTCATTGTAGCGATATTTTTGTGTTCCCAGATCTGAGCTCTTACTTTGGTGAGTACAATGTTATCATAACTGATTATGACCAATATGACAAAAATAAGACTCAAGTGGACATGAACTGTAGGTATTTGACGTGATCTTTGGCAGTTCAAGATAAGTAACAAAAGCAACCATGAGTCTTTTTTAGTCACCACCATTTGGTTTTATTCACCATTTGACATTCTGATTCAGTTAAATTAGAATTACAACCCTGTTTCCAAAAATGTTGGCACGCTGTGTAAAATATAAATAGAAACAAAATGTGATGATGTGCAAAACATTGAAACCCCATTTTTAATAGAAAATAGCACAAAGACAACTTTCAAATGTTGAAACTGAGAAATGTTATTGTTGTTTGAGAATTTTATGCCCATTTCGAGTTTGATGGAACAACATGTTTCATAAGATGTTCACAGTGGCAACAAAAAACAGGAAAAAGTTGTGAAATGTTAAAAGAAAACACCCGGTGGAACATCTCACAATAAATGAGGTCAATTGACAACAAGTTAGTAACATGATTGGGATGCTCTTTTTTTAACCCATTCTTTCTGAAGTAAAAATGGGTATGGTTCACCACTCTGTGAAAGACTGCGTCAGCAAATAGTGCACCAATTTAAGAATAATTTTTCTCAACTTAAAATTGCAGAGAATCTGGGTATTTCATTGTCTACAGTACATCATATAATTTAAAGATTCAGAGAATGAGAAGAAATCTCTGTATGCAAGGGTCAAGACCGAAAACCAATATTGGATGGCCGTGACCTTGGGGCCCTGAGACTGCACTGCATCAAAAACAGACACAATTCTGTAGTGGACATCACTGCGTGGGCTGAGGAACACTTCCAAAAACCATTGTCTGTGTACACAGTTTGTCGCTGCATCCACAAATGCAAGTTGAAACTCTACCATGCAAAGAGGAAACCGTTGTTGAAGAGGTGATGCAACAGAATGGAAAACATGAACCTGTCCCAGCTTTTTTGGAAACAGGGTTGTACATGACACTTGATCACATGTATTTCAACAGCTCAGAGGTGAGCCTGCCTTACAAGAAATTTATCTTTGCTTCCGCACAACTGTCACTCTTCATCATAATAATAATAATAATCTTTATTTGTAGAGCACTTTTCAAAAACAAGTTACAAAGTGCTTTAACAAGTGTAAAGAAAATAATACCCCATCATGCAAATCTTACTACTTCACTCGTGTTTCCTTCAGTGCTCGCTTTCTTGTAAGGCTTGCTAATTAATCTTGGTTCATGTGTTGTCCTTTTGCGAGAGTTGTATAGTATTACTAGACTCATAATCACCATCATGATCATTTATTTTGAAAACTTCAGTTAAGCCAAGAGTCTTTTTAAAAGTGCCTTGGTCACAGTCACTTGGAAACTGGAGTGAGCAGGCTCATTCCCAGTACGCAGATGGTAGAATGATACATGTTGGTTTTGCTTTTACAGCTTCACTTTAGGGGAGGAGGAAACATGAGAAGGCACTGACACATACCATGTGTCATATGCACCGCTGTTTGTTCACAAGGCTCGTACAGTGCTTGTGGCTCCTAATACTCAGAGAGAGCAAAACTATAATTTAGGTGGAAGGTGTGTGTGCGCAAGTCACCGGGGCTAATAACAGCTGGAGCACTAAGACCCCCTCATGCTCATCTCTGCTTGTGTGCATGTCAGTAGTAATTGAAGCCACTTTGTAGTAGACGGTTTAGGTATAGTGTAGGATTTCAATAGTGTTATCTCTACGTATGTCTCAGAATCAGAAATACTTTATTGAAATTCTTCTTCGTTACAATTGCTCACTTTGCATGTCAAGATTAAGGAATTAATAGAAAATATAACGAAATCTAAGTATACAATCTAAATATAAATGACTGTGGATATGTACAGTATTAACAGAAATTCTGTTTGTCTGTTAATGTAGCATGGATTGATTAAATTTCTCATGCCTTGAAAATACTTTTTAAGGGAATAGTTAGATTTTTGGAAATGCGCTAATTTGCTTTCTGCCAGAGTTAATGAGAAGATGCCACTCCGATGTCTGTACAGTAAATATGAAGCTACAGCTAGCACCTGCTTAGCGTAGCTTAGCATAAAGATTGCAAACAGAGGGAAATGGCTTGTCTGGCTCTGTCCCAAAGGTTACAAAATCTGCCTATCTGCTCCTCTAAAGCACACTAATTAATATTGTTGTATACTGTTTTTATGTTTTTTTTTTTGTTTAACCCATTTAGGAATGGTTTTAGTGTATGTGCTGGACTATTTATTGGTTGGGTCCAAGAAGTTCTTCAGAAACTCGCTGCACCAAAGATTGCTTCGACTTTAATTGGGATGAAAATTATTTGCTTAGACATTTACATTTAAATTCACCAGTACAGCTCAGCTATCTAACCCTGTCTACATCCCAGGATGAACTCCTCACATGGCCTAAAAACTGTGTAATGAACATTTGAAAGATTTCTAGACATGGTGAATATTAGATTTTGAGAAGGTTGGGACGTCTAGCTTGGTTTTAATGTCATGTCCAATTTTTAAGTAGGCCAGAAATGAGGCCTTGAATGTTTCCCAACAAGAGGTGCTTGCAGAGCCTTGGCGTCTAACTGTAGGAGAGTATATGGGACTGTCTGTCAATCCTCCACTCTCTGACCAGGGGAGGTGGCTTACAAAACACTGTGACCTCCCCGGGTCAGACAGACAGACAGACAAACAAAGGCACCTTCCAGTTGGAAATAGTCCTGTCCTGATGTCAGAGGAAATGCCTGCTGGACAGAGGTCTTTCCTGAGAGTGGCGCCATCAACAACTAAGATTTAAACTTCAGAGGAATTCTGGGTGGAGTTTGCTTACTCCACTCTGTTTGTGCGTGTTTGTGTGAGTGTATTTGCGTACATTAGAGGGTTAGTAATTACAACACACAATGAGATTCCACACTTTTTTTTTTTTGATGAATACGATTTTCCATGTGGTCACTTGTTCTTTAGCTCCCATTAAGGGTATAAACTGATGTTCTGGCCGTTTGTGTTACATGCTCACAACAACAGAACACAATAAGTGATGAAGGATGGTGTGCAATCAGGGTCATCTGTAGAGTCCTGACACGCAGTTATTTTAATCATAAGACAAAACAATATTAAAACCTTTGATTCAAACATTAATGTATGTAAAGCGTTATGTCTCCACCAGCAGACAGTGATTGTTTTATTTCTAATTTTGTTCAAAGGATCGTAAGTTGCTAGCGACTGCCCAGCAGATGCTACAGGACAGCAAGACAAAGATCGAGTTCATCAGGATGCAGATCCTCAAGGCCAGCCAGGCCAGCGAGCTCAACTTCGAGAACAATGACGTGATGGGTGAGCCTCCTCTTGCCGTCAGTGATGGATTAGAGTTACTCAGCGTGACTTTTGGATGCCTCCATCAGTGCCCACAAGGTCTTTTTAAACAATCATGTCCTTCCTTGTCCTCCAGACAAGCCCATCATCAGCCCGTTGGACCTGCGGGTGGAGGAGCTGTGTCACCATGCCAAGATAGAGTCCGCTGTGGCCGAGGGAGCCAAGAATGTCATGAAACTCCTGGGCTCGGGAAAAGTCACAGAAAAAAGAGCACATTCAGAGGTAGATGTTTGTGTCTGAGTTTATCTCTATGTAAAATTCACTTCTTTACCGCCTGCTGTATGTATACAGTGGTGTTTTAAAACAAGCAGGAACAAGAATTCGGATCACTTTTAGACCTAATGCAGTTTCGTGGGCTTAAAATGAAACTGAGCTATGCACTGCTGCTGTGCTCCACTAAAGTAAAATGGACCATTGATGTTTCTCTCTCTTTCTATCCTTCCCCAACTAATTTTCACATCTACTAATTCTTTTCCTCCAACCCTCCTTTGCTTCCTCTGTACTTCCTTGCCTCTTTTCTCTCTCTTTAGGCCCAAGCTCGTTTTAACGAGTCCAGTCAAAAGCTCGACCTCCTGAGATATTCTTTGGAGCAGCGCCTCAACGAGTTGCCTAAAAACCACCCTCGTAGCAGCAGTATCGTGGAAGAGTTGTCCCTGCTGTCCTCACCGGTCCTCAGTCCCAGATCCAGCCTCATCTCCGCACAGAACCAGTACAGCACCGTGACTAAGCCCGCCGCACTCACAGGTAACTGAACAAGTGATGGTTATTACTAGCACATTTATTATTTGAGATGTTTTACACTGACGGCGTGTGTTAGTTTTGGTCCTATTATTTCCTATTACACACAGAGTTCCTCCAGTCACACAGAAAAAATTAACCAACTTGATGGATACTTTCCCTTTTTGACCCTTTTTATTTGTTGCAATTTAAAGATATTTTATGAAAAATAAACAAGAGCAAAGCGTGGGAACTACTTTTTACTAAGGGTAAACATTTCTTACTCTTCTGACTTAATGTCCACAGTGTGCTTTATCCAGACCAAGATACGATGGTATCGTCGCTGTTTGCTGTGAAGGTCTTACGTTGTTCATTAATTGTTTATGTCTTGGTGGGGAGTTGTGTTTCATACCAGTTAACAGAGACACAGGTCTCACCTCATTACCACTACTACTCTTATCCAACCTGTATCTTGCTGTTGTATTCGTAACCTTATATGTCTCCTAGGGTTAAACAAATTCTCCCCAAATATGTGAACCTTTTCACATGACCAGACGATGTGGGAATGATCATAGTCAACAGCAATGAACAAATGAATGATGAAGTGTTTTTGTTAGGTGTGATGTGGAAGATTTAAATTTTTTTTATTCTTCCAACCAAATTCCTTTCCTACAATTTGTAGATCTTCTGATACTTTTCAAACAAAAACATTGCAGACTGAGCTACACACTCTTTCATACTTTTGGAAAGATGATAAAGTTACGCTGGTGTCTTTATTTTCACTAGTTTACTTTCCTCTTCAAAAGCTCTCTTTCCTCATGGCAATTTTCAGACATTGATTTTTAGCTGTCAACACACATGACTTGTCTGCAGGTAGGGTGGGTTTTAAGCCTTGAATTGGTCTGCCTTTACCTTTGTGTCAAACATGAGTTAGACTAAACTACCAAAAAAAACAAGACTGGCCTTACTCAGTAAACTATTCTAACAAAACTTTGCACGAGACACATTGTGTAATTATATATGGATGTGTGTCGTCCCACCTCACTTCCAGGCACGTTAGACGTCAGGCTCATGGGCTGTCAGGACCTTCTGGAAAATGTCCCGGGTCGTTCCAAAGCGGCGTCTGTCCCGCTGCCTGGCTGGAGCCCCAGCGAGACACGCTCATCCTTCATTAGCCGAGCGAACCGAAACCGCGGTGTGAGCTCACGGAACATGACAAAGAGCGAGGAGCTCTCCAGTAAGTATATCTGACCTCCTGCACTGTCTGGAAATATATTGATTTAAACAATTCTGTGGCATTGAGCTTCACAAAGTTAGCACTAAATCATAGCTGGGCCGTAATGGACCTGTGACATTTCCCAGCGAAATGACCTTGTCTCTTAAACCAACTGAATTACACTCTCAATCAGGGCTTTGTTAATACATTAGTGCTTAACAAATAATGCGTGTATGTGTGTGCGTGTGTTTCTTAGATGAGATCAGTGCAGTGTTGAAGCTGGACAACACGGTAGTCGGCCAGACAAGCTGGAGGTCTGTCAGCAACCAGGCCTGGGACCAGAAGTTTACATTGGAGCTGGACCGGGTAACTAACACACATTTCTGCCCTTGACCTACATCTGTGCTGTTGACTCAGTGTCGTGTTCGGACAACACAGTCTGTGTGTTTCACATCTGTTTGGTGTGTGTGTGACTCTGCCCTTTAGTCTCGTGAGCTGGAGATCTCAGTGTACTGGCGTGACTGGCGTTCACTCTGTGCTGTCAAGTTCCTGCGGCTGGAGGACTTCCTGGACAACCAGCGTCATGGGATGTGTCTGTACCTAGAGCCACAGGGGATGCTGTTTGCTGAGGTACACACACACAAAAACACGTACGCACACACACACAGTGTACTAATATTGACCTTTACTGGTGACCGATCCCATTAAAACAGTTATTGTTAGCCGTAATGGACATAAATGTAAAAAGTTAGTAAGAACATTTAAAAACAGAAACAGAAATGGTTTATATGTTACCCAACTTTGAGAGAAGCGAGAAAGTTTATTTTTATTTGAGACTTTGTACTCCTTTGTGTCTTGGTTCACGCTTTTCTACCTTTATAAAACGCCCTCACATAACTTCAACTCTTCGGACTATATGCTTATTTATTTTTCGTCTTGTTTGAGTACATCCATCCAAGTGTTTCCACCACACAATGCTGCATGTACACATTGACTTAGATCTCTTATTTGTTGTATCAGCCGCTTTTTATCTAAAAAAAAAAAATTCTCTTGTCAAGGTAACGTTTTTTAATCCTGTCATTGAGAGACGACCAAAGCTGCAAAGACAAAAGAAGATTTTCTCGAAGCAGCAAGGTGAGTCAACATTCAACAGACAGGCATCATAGAAACTTACATTTATTATAACAGGCTTGGATGCTGTATCTGACTATGTCGTGGTTCTTGGTTTCACCAAATGCAGTGTTAATCTTTCCTGAATCCCCTGCCGTAAAAAGATTATTTTGTGATCTACATGTATTCTTTGTTTTACTCCTCCTGTTGTTTCTCGCAAACTTCACCACCTCTTTTGCTCTTCTTTCTCCCCTCCTCCTGTGTCTCACTTGCCTCTTCATTATCAGGTAAAACCTTTCTGCGAGCCCCTCAGATGAACATCAACATCGCTACGTGGGGCCGCCTGGTGAGAAGAGCCATACCGACCGTCAGCACCAACTCCTTCAGCCCGCAGGCGGCTGAGACCGGGCACAGCAGCCTGCCTGGTTCACCCACACCCAGCAGGTACTCCAACATGACACATACATGGACTAAAGATATTCAGATGTAATTCTTAACTCATACTAAAACTATGACAAAGACAGTTTTAAAAAAAAAACTGTTACCTCTGCTAATTCACAGCGACCCGCTGGTGACTAAGCTGGACTTTGACAAAGAGCCCACCCCAGGACCAAAACACTACCCAGTACCCGATGACATCCGAGAACCGCTGGTCCAGGATAAGATGCCCGATAAGGAGGAAGTACAGGTACGGTGTCCTAGGAATTACTGGTATTTTTGATAAAGCAGTAATGAGCTGATGTAATCACAGAAGGAAGACAACAAAGCCTCAGCACTCAGCCAGACAAGCCTATGCTGAGAATTTGACAGAAAGAAAAGATAAAAGGTCCAAAAAGGTGAATAAGAAGCAGCAAAACATACAGACAGCTCGAATGCCTTTAAATGGAGATCAGTTTAAATAAGACCTTTCCCCTGTACCGACTAATGTTCACCTCACTTTGTTTGCCACCTGCGGTATTCAGTATGACTATCCATTACCCAGGACGAATAGTCGCAGGATTTGTTTGACACAACAGATGGAATTAACAGTGGAAACCTCTTTATAGTGATCAAGTCTGTCTATTATAACTGATTTTTGTTTTTATTTATTTGTTACATGAATATAAAGAAATGAAACGGCACATTTGTTATTTACGGAATTTTTTTGACTTTTTCAAAATACAGTGCAGCCATTTCAGGCGCTTTTCAAATGACTATAATTCAAATACAGTACTGCATATAAAATCTATGTATTTCTAATTATAATTAGGCTATAGCCTAAAAAACTGTTTTGCTGTTTACAGTAACATTAGTGGTGCCACAGTTTGGTGTTGAACATTTATACATTTTTAACAGGCCTGAAAATAAACTTAAGGCTTTCAGTGGCAAACTCAGCAGATTTATAACATTTGGAGTTTTTTGTTCATGTATGAAAAGACCCAAAATGAACACTAAGCATATTATTTTAATAGCATTTGTATAAGAATGATTCTGTCCCAAGCTTTTTGATCCATATAAGCTGTTGATCAACGTAACCATGATCACTATAATCATTTCCCACTGTATAATCATATTATAAATAATGGCTAAAAGCTTGTTCCTTATTACTTTTAGTCGACCAAAACCCCACGATTTGACTCATTTTTCACCACTTTTCTGTCCTCCTGCTTTGTGCTCCCCCCTCTGCAGGATGCACTCGCCTCGTTCGACTTCTTGAACAAGAGAAACAGCGTAGCGGTGAAGCCAGACCTGGACAGAGTGGTGGAGCAGGAGATCCAGCATCAAGACCTGGAGCTTACCGTCATCCAGAAAGACTCAGAGATAAGGTAGGAGAGCCATGTGTGTGTTTTTGTTTTTGTTTGTGTTCGAGGTCTAGTTCAGGGGCCTGTACCATGAAGCGAGTTCAATATACCCAGGATATCTTTAAGTTATCTGGCTGAACTAACCCTAACAATCGCGGTCGGGATAAGCGGTACCACGAAGCTGGTTATCAACTCGGTAACTCAACCCAGGGTTTCCCAATTCAGCCGGGAGCGCGTTCACATAAAAGAGGCGGTGTAAGCAGCAGATGACCAATCACAGACATGAACTTGTCGTCACTTCAAAAATGAGATTAATTTATTTAACACACTCAAAAGTGTTCCCAACATTATTCTAAATTAACTTCATAAAGCAATGAAACGAAAACTCCATTCATGCCGTAAAGTGTGCTCAAATAGTGGTTGACAAAACCCCACATCGCAAGAGGTGGGGCAGAACGTGACCAGTCTTGGCAATTTGGCAGTCAGGGCAATTGGTTCTGCAGCAAGACTCAGTTAGAAGTCTACTGTAAAAACCTGTAGGTGTACAATAACCTAAGGCTTTTAATGAGTGTCTTTAGGATGATATCGCTATAGCCTACAAGAGTTTCTCCACATCACCGCTGCAAACATAAAGCAGCCTTAACAGTCTGTGGGATTTCCTACAGATTGTAATGTCATTTTCCAAGAGAGCTGATTGGTCAGTAGGTGGAGTTTTCATAGAGTTGATCTCTTATCTGCAACATAACCTGCTCCGGAGCAAGTTAGCCGTTCAGCATAAGTTACCATGGAGATATACCCTGGTAAGAAGTGAACCACCGTTGTGGTACTGAAAATCCAGGGTTAAACCCGAAGTTACCTCGATAAGCTCAAATCCTGCTGCGTGATACAGGCCCCAGGTGTAATGTTCTGACATGCAGAAGTATTCAGAGGAGCTGAAATAGTAACATGGGCGTGAACACTGCCCCCTGGCTTTGAATCTTTATGCTGTTTAACTGTGGTGTGTTGTGCTACAGGCTGGCTCTGTATTCAAACCACCAGCTTCATGCAGGTCTCTATAATTAATTAATAAATGATGTTAATGTAAACGCTGATCCTTTTCCAGGGAAGAAGAGCAGTTCCACTTCAGTCTCCAAGACTTCAAATGTGTGGCAGTCCTTGGACGTGGTCACTTTGGAAAGGTGCTTTATAACGATAATCTTTTATTATCAATTTATCTGTCTGTTATTTTCCTGGAGTTATAATTTTTGTCTACAAATGCCTGAAAGTATTAACCGTTCATAACCCAAATACATTAAGTTCACTATCATATATGACAACGAAAAGCATCTGCATGTTTCAGAAGGTTGAGGATGCATTTTTGTTTAAAATATGAAAAAAAAAACTGTTCTTATATTTGCAGTCAGTTGATGAATCGATAAATGAACTAATTGTTTCAGCTCTAGTCCAACAGAACAAAGTAGGCAGAAAGCTGACATTGAAAGTGTCTCTTTCCTCTGTGTCTTCCATCCTCAGGTGTTGCTGGCAGAATATAAAAGCACAGGAGAGATGTTTGCTATCAAAGCTCTCAAGAAAGGAGACATCGTGGCTCGCGATGAGGTGGACAGGTAAATATTTAAAGTGTCTGCTCAGACTAGTGACTCTCACCAGTGTGCCAAAAATACTGCAAGGCTGCAACTAGAAATGTAAGGGTAATAGGAAACCTTGGAGGAGCCAGTTAGGAGTTAACGTGGCCTCCTTTTTTCTTCAAGTGGATGAGTACAAAATTTCAGCGACCCCCTTGCTGCTGTAACTCACACAGTCTCCTCTTCTCTTTGCCAGTCTGATGTGCGAGAAGAGGATTTTCGAGACGGTCAACAGTGTCCGCCACCCGTTCCTGGTCAACCTGTTTGCGTGTTTCCAGACACAAGAGCATGTTTGCTTTGTCATGGAGTATGCGGCGGGAGGCGACCTGATGATGCACATCCACGCTGATGTTTTCTCTGAGCCCAGGGCCATGTGAGTGACCAGAGCTTTAACTCCACCACCCGTGTCTGAACTTGACTGTACATTTGCACCATTAGTGAAGTGTTTATGAAGGGTCATTTGGGTTTCATGGTTCTTTCAGTTGTTCAGACCTGTTGGGGTTTTGTGTCTTGTTTAGGGATGCACCAATCCAATACTGATATCAGATATCGTCTCGATACTGACAAAATAGCTGGATCGGGTATACCGAAAGCACAGGTATTAGTATCAGGACTGAAAACGTCGGATCGGTGCATCCCTAGTCTTGTTTCTATTTTTTTTTTATTTGCAGGGGCACGTCTATAGGAATTCTGAAAGAACTGTTTCCCTCAGTGTGTAAAACTCTTTGTATAGCTCATGTAAGGTAATCTGTTTTGCAGATTTTATGCAGCCTGCGTCGTATTGGGATTGCAGTTCTTACATGACCATAAGATTGTGTACAGGTAAGCAGTTTGAGTAATGTTAAATCGGTCATTCATTCATTCATCCAGTCCCACATCAGTTAGGAACATGACATTTTTAAAATTCTTTCCTTATTCCTTTTTTTATTTGCAGAGATTTGAAGCTGGATAACCTGCTACTAGACACAGAGGGATATGTAAAGATTGCTGACTTTGGGCTTTGCAAAGAAGGTAACACAGAAAATGAGATTAAACAGGAAAATTGCAAAAGAATCTGTAGCTTCAAAATGACAAATGTGAAACTAGCGCCCTGAATATCCAGAGACATATCAGTTATCAAACAACAATGAATAGAGTAGAGGGTGGTAGGATGATTTTTATCAAACCACACCTGTGTTGCTTTCAGGAATGGGTTTCAGGGACCGCACCAGCACATTTTGTGGCACGCCAGAGTTTTTAGCTCCTGAGGTTTTGACCGAAACGTCGTACACTCGTGCTGTGGACTGGTGGGGACTGGGCGTCCTTATCTTCGAGATGCTGGTTGGGGAGGTGAGTGCGTTTTCCCCCACCCCAGATGTTCCGTATGATAAATATTTGACTTTACAACGCCTTCACAAACATTCAGCAATTGTGCATTGTTGCATAATGTCAAGGCTTCTGATTCATGCTGAAGGTCAGTGATTCATATTCAGCGGCAGTTGTCAGGTCTTCATCTTTTCTTTCTTTGCACGTCTTTTTTTCAGTCACCCTTCCCTGGTGATGATGAAGAGGAGGTGTTTGACAGCATTGTCAATGACGAGGTCCGCTACCCACGGTTCCTCTCAACCGAGGCCATCTCCATCATGAGGAGGGTGTGTAGATAGACTTCAAATTCAAAGCAGCTGCGTTATCGCTGAACTGCAAACTCTGTTTGTATTCCCCTCCTGACATGATGTCACCAAGTAACTGACCAGTGTGTGTCCAGGTAGTGTATCAATTTAATTTGACTTCTTCTTCTTCTTGTGCTCAGCTTTTGAGGAGGAGTCCAGAACGACGACTGGGAGCAGGAGAAAGGGACGCAGAGGAGGTCAAGAAACATCTATTCTTCAGGGTAAGGAACCAAAAGTGAATTAGCACTGATAGTTTTTTAAAGGGGCATTCACACCTACCTTGTTTGGTCCAGACTTTCCGGACTTTTCAGTTTGATCCGAATCAAAATCACAGGTCTGAAACTTCCCCCTGACCGCCGTCCGTACCAAACAGATGAAATTAGATTTTTGGGATGTTTTGGACTTTGAGACCATTTAATAGGAAGTTTGGAGGTTCCTGTGTATACTGGAAACAAACAAATGCACAGATAAATGAATTGAAATAAGGAATTTAAACTTTCAAGTATAGTTAGAGCTGCAGGTAGTAATGCCATAATATAGTGGCAACAATATGCATCTGTTCATTCCTCATTCTTGTCAAAGCTAACCGCAGAACTTTTTACAAACCACTCAATGTCAAGTATAGGGAGACTCGGCACACATAGATGATGACAGGATGTAGCCTATGTCATGGAAAGTTCTTGGTGAAATTAGGTGTGGACTTGCACTTGTGAAAGGCCCCTTGATTAGTGAGCTTTAGAGGTACTGGAAGGGGAATTTTTGTGTTTTTTACCTTTGGAGGGAGCCAGGCTAGTTGTTTCCCCATCACTAGTTTTCATGCTAAGCTAACCAGATGCAGCCTGCAACCATGTGACCTCCTGTGTCTGTTTCTTGGCAGAGCATGGACTGGAATGGACTGTTGGCCAAGAAGGTGAAACCGCCGTTCGTGCCGACCATCCAAGGCACCAACGACGTCAGCAACTTCGATGATGAATTTACCTCAGAGGCTCCCATCTTAACCCCGCCCAGGGAACCCCGAGCGCTGAGCTCTGATGAGCAGAACACCTTTTCTGACTTTGATTACATTGCTGACTGGTGTTAGCCTCACCTAACCCTGTCTACACACACACACACTCACATGCACACACACACATGCACACACTGTGAACCAACCAACACAGCAATGACTGTAACGTCATTTAAAAACTTTCCTCTTCCTTGCCCAATATTTTGGAAGAGCAACGAACGTGGCTCCCCGCAAAAACTCTGTGCCATTGAGGGGGAAAGTCCAGAAGCCTCCCGAGGACCCCCACTTATTTTTTAATCCACATGAAGAACTTTTTTTAAGGAAAAGAAAAGAAATGAAACTCTTTTGTTTGGAGAGTGAAGGAGGAGGTATGCTTTGTCCTCCTGCACACGTTGTCGTCGTCATGTCCATTGTCTGACCACTGAGAATGTTTTTCATATGAACTCCGAGAAGACGGCAACAATCACAATCATGGTATGCAGTGTCACCGTCTTTGTTTTTTTGATCTGTACAGATTATATTCAGTCGTATATTTTATTGTTGTTTTTCTCTCTTTGCAAAGCCCTCGCGATAGCTTAAGGACATTTTTATCTCACTGTAAAGTTTGACATTTCTGCTATGATCACATCTGAAACTGGTGTTCAGTGAGTCTGAAATGCTCAAAGCATTATCACTGAGCGGTCAACTACAGCAAACATCTTGACTACTACTGCTACTGCTTCTTGACTTGAAATCCAAGCGAGAGTCTTCACACTACATGTCGTCTTGTCTCCGGGCCCAGTCTGTCCACAACCTGCTTTTCAACGTCACTGTGCTCACCTTAAGCTTTTATGTCTGCATACAACAATCCACACAATAATAATTCTTTTTAGTGTAAAACAGCAGTCCATCCATGCTGCTTAAACTGTTAAATGAATTATCATCACTTAGTAAATGTTGGAAATTAGTTGATAATTAAAAAGGCCTTTTGGCCAGAAGAATTAATGCAAAATGGTTGGTCTGATGCCCTCTAGTGGCTCATATTCAGCTGAATTCTGGTCAAAGTACCACTTGGTATTGCAGTACCTTTTGGAGCAAAAAAATCAAATATTAAATTAATTATTTTGTAAAATCCGAGTTCAGTTGGATTTCAAGTAGTCTTTTCTTTTGTTCCTCAAAGAACAGCTGTCGTTGTGGACCTGGCAGATGTTTTCTTCTTACCTCAGTCAAAGTGAAAAAAACTAAAGTGAGTCGCACAGCTACAGCTACCAAAACCAAATTCATCTTGTCCCATCCTGAAGCAGCAGAAAAACAACTCTTCATGGTTTAAAATAAATAAATAAATACATCTGATTTATGGACAGACGGTGAACCCAATAACGGTAAAGATGTGGTGGTAAAAAATCCATTAGACAAGCGCCGAGCTGTGTTGTATGTGGGAACATACTAAGTTTAGTTGTTCTAGGTCTGTCAAAATGCCATTTCATTGCTTCCCACACTGTTGTGGGATCAGTTTTTCAGGCTGGCGCCGAGGAACCAGGTGATTACTTTGTCAATTTGCATGTTTATATATAAACTGACTCAAATGTTGGAGAGCTGTTGAATCACTACAGGGGAGGGCAGGGTATATTATATATATACATACTGTATGTACACAATTAAGCTGAAAGCACTAATTCTATCAATAGTTTAATTATCTACATTTTCTTAATGATGAAAATAGATTGTACAAAGTTTTTTTTTTTTTTTTTTTTATTCTTTGCTTGTGCATGACGTCACCAGAACAGATGAAAACTTTATGGATGGTACACCAATAGTCAAGTCACACAACTGTTGCTGTTCACCCTGGAGTAAAAAAAAGAAGGCATTTCTGCAGTTGTTTGTTGCCCATCATGAATGCACAAATTAAACATTTGTAATAGTGTCTTTTCTTGTATTTGTACCCTTGACACTAAACACGGTTTACCCGTCACCCTGGAAAAATTACAGGATAGTAATTATGTAAACAAATGCTTCAAACCATGAACTGATCACCTTGCTTTAATGAAAATCTTTTATTTTTTTTAAATTACTTGAAACAATTCAAACAAACTAACAAAATAGAACCTGGTCATTTTTCTACAAAAACAAAGTTTATGTATACAGTATGAAACCAGCCTAAAATTGCAGGCATCAATTACATTTTCCCACTTGGACATATATACATGACACAGTATACACACTCAAATGAAATACTGTAAGTACAGTCTGCAAGCTGTTTATTTAAGCACTGGAATGTGTCCGTTTTATTCCTGTAAGAGCACCCTGACAAAGGCTTGAAGGGGGACAAGAGAAATCTTCCAAATCCAACACACATGATTTTTACAAAAAGGATGTAATCCTGTAAGTACAGCAGAAAAATATCGTCACTGTGTAGAGGCAGCGTCTTCTTCACAGTTGGGGCAGCTTGTCGACAGGTGTGTCAAATTTGAAGTCTGGAGGGAAGAGTTCTGCTGCTCGCGGGTAGATGAGCCGGTATGACTGTCGGATTGTAACATCTGCAACGCCGGCAATGTCCCCGATTTCTGTGGAAGCATCACAGACAAGGTTAGACACTTGAATTGTACAGAATCTAAAAAAAACTGCTGCATTTTCAGAAAAACAACGGCGAATTTTCTGGAGCTCAAAAATGCCAAGTGAAAATAAAAGACCGCATTCTACTTATTTTGATCTACTCAGGAAAACATTCAGCTAAAAAAGCCCCATATCTGGAGCTAGAGGGACACCACTGTCCTCCTGAAGGACATTTAAACGGGACTGATGACTGACAGATTTTTATCAAACCATTAAGACATGATGCCAACTCTGTGCTTTTTCCCTTTTATTATCCACTTTTGTCAGACTTTATACTTTTACTTTACCAATTTTCAGTGGACTATACTGTGCTATGTCTTCCACTGCAATTATTTTTTGTCTTTAATTACTTTGTTACTTTGCAGATGAAGATAATGCATACACATAATCTCACAAAATATAATCCAATGCAGTGTTTTATAGGTCTTTAAACCATCAACAATAAAACTGACAAATCATATTATATATGAACTCAGGTGACCTTTGTAATGCTAGAAAGCTCTATATTGTGGTGTTTGCTAGTTGCATGTCATTAAAAAACACAATCTGTGACCCAAATGTAAAAAAATAAAATAAAATAAACTATTTAAGACACATGAATCGGGCCTCCTATGACATGCAAATCGATTGACAGGCCTTTTAAACCAGACAACTAAAACCTTTATCAATGTTTTTATAAAGAAAGTTTAATGTTTGTTTTACTTTGTTGGATCATTTTGGTATTTTTAAACCTCAGCCCTAATTTCACATCTTTTGGTGTTGAAATGACTGGTAGGTTACAAAACGTTTTGGAATCCGTGCAGTAGATGGCTTCAGCCAGCAGCTTCAAAACTGCTGCAGAGACATTGGGGACAATTGCGCCCATCAAAATTACATCCACAAAAAGTGCTTTTTTTGCCATCAACAGGCTCAGACTGTTATATAGCAAGTGTCTGACAACATCATGGAAAGGATCCCTACGAGTGTCTCACTCAAGGACAATTCTCACTCCTGAGAGGCAAGTTGTTGCATGAAGACGCGGGTGGAAACGAGGGAGACCAGTTAAGAGTAATGTTCTTGGTAGCAGTTGCTCTCTATACATAACAACATCCTCTCTCCATCTAACCTACGAAGATCTCTGCTACTAGTATATGTGAATATTATTATATTAATATTACAAGGCCAAAAAAACCTACAAAGGAGGTCTTTTAAAGGTGGCGAGTTGAGAGTTAGCAAACTGTCGCTACAGTTGCTGCTGCAAAGCTAACATGCAGGGAGGATGAGACGGTCTCCAGACAGCGATACTCACAACTCTCCTGCTACTGTAGCTAACATCACAACAACAGCAGTCTTGGCAAACTAGGAAGTAAGCTGAATGACCATGGGCAAGTCATTAAAAGTTACCTGACACAAATCATAGCTGGAAAGGCTGGAATAGTGTTGTGTGACGGGGTGCAGGCCACTATGTTTGTTTCCCATTTACAAAGCCAGGGCTGTGTACAAACAAGATTTTTTTCAGCACGCACATAGGATGGACAGCTAGCGGGCCGTGAGGGAATATTTGCTGAACTTGACAGAAAGACATGTACTGGATTAGGATCACTTACCCCACCTTTAACTAGAGTTGTTTAAACTAAACTTTAGATTTGGCTGTCAACAGTCTCACTCACCTTTCTGGGTCTTCTTCTCAGCAGAGGCCTGGGAGGCCATGTAGATGGCTGCTGCAGCCACAGAGATGGGGCTCCTGCCGGGCACCAGGTCGAGCTCCACAGCCTTCCTGGCGATGAAGGTGGCCGCCATCTGCACCTGTTTGGGCAAGCCCAGGTTTGAGCAGAAGCGGGACATGAAGTCTCCGGTGGTGATGAGGTCCACACTGGTCTCCAGCGCCTTCAGGATCAGCTTAAAACACCGGCCAATCTCCTTCTTGGAGATCCGGGAGACTGCGCAGATCTCTGTGGAGGGAAGGAGAGAGGATCAGGGGAAGAAACTGCACATAGAGTGAAGTCAAAGAAATGTGTCTCTTTTCTTTCTCTACTGTGACTTCCACAGTAAAACTGGAGAGGAGAGAGTGCACCTTTTCTTCTATAAATAGGATGTTTTCTACTTTAAAACTGTACGGACAGGAATCTAATTGCCTTTAGTTAATGGTGGCTAATTGCACATCACAGATTAAATCCCATTGAGATACACTTACACTTAAGTGACTGTGTGTAGCTTTTCCTAACGTCCATGCCTTTAACTTCCTATCCACTCAGGCCAGCACGCCCCATGTCCATTATCCAGGTCCCTCACTGACCCCGCCATCAAATAAAATATAGGCTAATTGTCTTCCCTGAATATAAATGGTTTTATAATTATTATGAGTAGTAGTAGTATTATCAGTTAATTGTATTTATATTAAAAATGTATTATTTCTTTTCTTTGTTATTATATGGTTATTATGTTAAAATATCATAATCATGGGTTTCCCAGGGTGTTAAACAAATGCAACATTTAGAAATTTGACAACTTTAATTAGGTGTCTTATAGACCGCAAACAGCAGTCAATCAGAAATGCCAAACAAGAAGCAAAAAACAAGCAAAGCCTCAGGAAGAAGTCTGAGGCTGTTGGAAGAAAGCAGACAGATTTATCGTAACTTTCTAAGGACATTAGCTAAATTGAAATTTCAAAGTTAGTGTGAGCCCTGCGCTCGGTGGTTCTCTGCCCACTTCTTCACTGCAGGGTGACACAGTAGGCCTATACACCAGTGTGGGGACATTTTATGGATGACACTCTGACATCCCGTTCCCATGAAGGCAGCATGAAGCAGCACTACAGAAAGCTGACAGAAAGACTTAAGTAAAGAGTCGCTGCCGTCCTGTCGCATAGGTGTAAACTGGCAGGTTTTACAATGTTGCAGACCACTTTCTTTTTGCAAGTAGCTGCGAGTTTCATCTCATCTCAAAGTGAATCTTTGGTGTAAATTCGCCTTGAACAACGGCCCCAGAGAACACCTCCCTTTCAAAAATATTGCTGCCAGCGCCCCCCGATGTTCTTTGAACTGCCCCCGTTGAGAAACACTACACAAGGTGTTAAATGTGAATTTTGAACAAATTCTATTTTAAAATGATTTTAATCTAACATGAGAAATAAAACAATCAAGAAGCTGAATACTTTTTTAGCAAACCTGAATTTAAAGAGGGAAATTTATGAGTCACTATCAAAAATGTTCCTGTCTAAGGTTTTTATGTCAACCAAACACTTCATGTTACCTGTTACCATGTACTTAGAAGTACCAAAGTTTGTTTTGTTCCATCAATCATTCCTCAACAGCAGCCCTAACTTCAACAGTATGGCAGGAAGTAGAAGTTTTTCTGACCTTTAAACGTTCTTGGTACACCTTCTTGTCTGCAGGCAATGTAGAGACATGCAGAAGCGATGGCATCATTGGCTCGCCCCTTCAGGCTCTTCTGTTCATACACCTGCTTGAACAAGTTGTTTGTTCTGTCCTGCAGAGCAAAAAACATATTTACAGCAAACAAAAGACTTGAATACACCTAGTAAAAGTCTTTACAACATTTTTAATGGGATTAAATAGTGTTTATCTTCACAAACCCAAAATAAGTGTTTTTGTGAGAGCGAATTATGAAAATCTTAGAAAAAGAGTGCTGTACTTCTTGTTTAGCTAAAACTGTTGGATCTTGTTTGAGTGGGGCCAACCTGTGGCTCTTCTATTTGAACTCTTTCCTGTTTGTCTTACTTATTTAATAATTTACATTTTTATTTACGTCACCATGTATATTATGGCCTCAAAAGAGCTTCTGTCTAGAAATAATTGAACTGAACCGCAGACCACGTGTACCCCTTTTATACAGGGGACACGCATATGAACGTGCCTCCAGTCACACTTCAATGAAAAACCAAAGAGTTACCTCAAAGTTATGTTACAGTTTAATTTCCCTTTATTCTCTTGCTCGCTATGTTTCCATTTCTAACAGAGATGCCTGGGGCCTCATGTATAAAAGACTGCGCAGCTTTCATACTGAAAGATGGCATACTCACAGAATTAGAAAAGTACGTACGCATAAAAATATCCATATGTATAAAACCAGGTGTACGCCAGGTCCTGCGCACCTTTCCTTTATACATGACATGAAATTGAGTGCACATGCACAAGCCACATACCCCGCCTTGGCTCCTCCCATAAATTACTATGCAAATGATTATAAATACGCCAGTGTCACCTCCTAAGGGCCTAATAACAACGGCCAATCCTGCTGCAAAACATGTGAAAAAGAGAAACTACACTGAGTGTGTGATCGAAGTGCTGATCACAGAAGTGGAGGCGAGAAG